TATCTCCCTCCGAGTCCAATCTGTGTTGCTCAGATAGTCATGGTACGGTTGACTACCAGGGGTCCACACCCTTACAGAAACTGATACTCCCTCCCCCAGAAAACACCAGTTGCCCGTAGCTCCTCAGCTAGGTGTCGGAAAGCTTGCACGACTCTCCCTCTTCAGTGCCAGGACGCTGACTGGCTTGAGCTCTTGAGCAGGTCTTATGTGGGCCCTCACAGGTGCTGGTCGTTACTGTGTTCACAGCTGGGTAAGACTGTTGCTGACCACATCCTCCACCCCAGCATCCTGGATAGTACCTTCTGGTACCGTGACATCCAGTCAGCAGGAAGTAAGGGTCTGGGTCAGCACCACTTTGATCTGTTTGAGTCCTGTGACCAAAGGAGCTGCCTATTCTTCCTGTTCTTCATTAGGGTTTATTACAGTTGGTTGTCACTCACCCCGACTCCACCCATCCAGTGTAGGGGCTCAGCCTCATTTGTTCCTCGCCTAGCTTCTCTTCAGACCCCCTGCACAGACCTCTGTGGAGAGCAAAAGACCTCAGAGCAACCAGCGCTTTGCAAACTGCGCTTTGCTGTCTTTCGAGAAAACCAGCTCTCTTAAAAAAAAAAAAAAGAAAAGAAAAGAACGTGACAACAGTTCTATAAGTGGGTCTGACCCCAATTGGGGGTCACACAATCAAATCTAAGTCACAAAAACAACAGCAACGGCAAACATTTCCTGAATTCAGTGACCAAAAAAATTAATATTAAATCAAATGTGTAACAAGTCCAAGGTTTTCCCACCCGTGGTGTAATGCAAGACTCCGCTGCGGACCCAGCCGAGAACACGATGTGCGCACTCTGCATGACAAAAATCCAAAAAGTAGACTCAGCTTTCAAAGTGTACCCACAGCAAACCTCAATCCCAGGCCAATTACGTCCTCCCGAGCCCCTCCCCGCCTCCAGAGAGCTCTGTGGGTGAAGGCACTTGCCGCCAAGCCTGGCTACCTGGGCTCCATCCCTTGAACCCACGCGGCATGTGAGTTGACCCCTGGAGGCTGTCGTCTGACCTCCACACACCCTCTGTGTACAATGCATACACACAGACACCGGTGTCTTGAAGACACATCCACAGTGGACGAGGCAAACTCTTCAGCAGGGTCTTGTTGTTTTAATGGATGGATGCGTGGCCGGGATCTGTCACACACCGCGGTGCTCCCACAGACCAGAAGAGGGCATCGGCTCTCCTGGAAGCAGCTGGAGCTACCGGTGTGTGTGAGATGCCCGCCCAGCAGGGGCGTCTGAAAGCAAACTTTGTTCCTCTGGAAGAGAGCAGCAGGTACTCTTCAACGTCCCCGTGACCCAGGCTGGCTCCAGGCCCCTGGGTCTCCGCCCCTTTCAGCACAACCTCCTGGCGAGGGACACCACAACCAGCTCAGGGAAGGACTCGTGAGTACAGCATCTGCAACGCGAGCCTCACGCTCCCGCCCTTAATTCCTCCACCGCACAGTCGCACCGGCCACAGGCACCGTGCGGCCTCCCTCCCGGGTAGCCGACGGCTGGTCTGCGGAGAGGGGACGCTAATCCCCCGCAGGCCGGGCTGTGTGGGGCTCGCCTGCTGTGCCCGGCCTCGTGCCCCGCCTTCTGGCCAAGAGAGTGGACGGCAAGAGTGCCGGGGACCCTCCCAGCTCCACTGAAGCCGGCTGGGATGCTCGGGCCCCGTCTCCCACCGTGACACCGCGCCCGAGGGCCTTCCCGACCCCCATGCAGCGCGGGCCCCGGAAAGATGCCCCGTTGGCAGGCTGGGGGCGAAGAAGGTCCCGCCGGGACTGACGACCGGCTCGCCGGAACCTTCTGCAGCCCAGAGCCCGCCACACCGCCGACCCGGAAGCGCGAGCGCACGCAGGCCGCTCTAGGCCGCCCGGAGGCCTCGTCTCGGTGGTACCACCGCGGCCCGACCACCTGATATGCTGGAGGAGGAGATGGGGTTGTCGTGCCCTTCTGAGCGCGTGCGCACTTGAGAGAGGCTCGCAAGGGCTCCGATGCGTGTGCAGGGGGAAGGTCCGGCATGCGCACTAGGACGGCAAGGGGCACGCCTTGCCGGAAGCTCTGCACATAAATTATACAAATTCGTTCGAGCTATTTCTCTGGCACTAAAGTTTAAGCAGCTACATTGGGGGGGGGAGGGGACTACCCAGCCACATCTTCACAAATATAGACTGGACCATCAGTGCAGTTTCTGTTGCTGATATGGTTGGAAAAGGTCCCAGCACCTAAGTCAGAAGGCCCAATGCAGCTCCAGGAAATCTGACGCCCTCTGCTGGGACTGCCTGGCACCGCACTCACCAGCACATACCCACAGGGACACATCAGTTTAAAATGTAGTTTAATGATAGGGTTGGAGAAATGGTTCAGCCATCAACAGCACTTGCTCTTGCAAAGGGCCAGCGTTCAATTCCAGCACACACATGGTGGCTCACAACCATCCGTAACTCCTGTTCCAGGGAACCCAACGCCCTTTTCTGACTTCCACGGGCACCAGGCACAAACACACAGGCGCGCACAAAACATTCATATACATAAAAAACAAATCTTTAAAATGATAAAGCAGGCCGGGCGTTGGTGGCGCACGCCTTTAATCCCAGCACTGGGGAGGCAGGGGCAGGCGGATCTCTGTGAGTTCGAGGCCAGGCTGGACCGACAGCCTCCAAAACAATAGAGAAACCCTGTCTTGAAAAACCAAAAAAAAAAAAAAAAAAAAAGATAACGCAGTAGAAACTATAAGGCAAAGAATTAAACCCTATTTCTCACTGAGCATGATGTTACATACCCTAATGCCAGCAATTCAAAGGCCTAGGACGGAATCAGGTGTTCAAGGCTCAGCTGAACCAAGTGAAACCCTTCCTCAGGCAAACTAATTTTTTTTGTTCAAGGACAAAGCAGGTGTGGTTGAGAGCCTATGCTGAAGGCTAAGGCAGGAAGTCTGCCTGAGCTCAAGTTGGAAGCCAGAAAGGCAAACACAGACCCTAAGGTTAAGAAATCCTTAGTGATTAAAAGAATCTCCATGCCCCCCCCCATAACCAATCACCGCACACCTCACTGATAACCCTGACCACTCACCCCATCTACCTTGACCTCAGTTACTCCACTAAACCCAGTCCCAGGTGGTAAATTCTTAGCCACCAAGATGGATGCAGTAAGAATTGATCTGCTCTGGTGCAGGAGTCAACCTGCTGCTTCAAAACAAATCACTTGGTGGTTGAAAGCAACACACATTTGGCCCCCACCCCCAAGTGTGAGAATCAGGAATGGCATGGCTGGAGATGTTTCAGGTCTACTTTCCACTACTCTTCCCAGGACCCTTCCCCACCTGCAATGCTCTGGGGAGGATGCCATTTAATCAGCCAAATGCGTTTCTTCTACTTGTTTCTGTGGGTGAGCTCAGAGCAAACAGCCGAGACTGGATAGGTACAGTACCAATCTCAACTCCACTTTCTATCCATGTCTTATTCCTCTCACTATAACCTTAAACCCAGAGGCATATATATACCCAAACAAGAGCCAAGGAGTCAACCGGTCACCCACCGTCCCAACACAGCTAGCCCACTGTGTGCTCACTCCAAAGTGCCTGGACATAGGTAAGCTTCTTCACTTCTTTCCCAGCTACAAGCCAATCAGAGCTCGCTAAACTCATGTTCCAGCCTTTAAACAGCAGCCTACCTACCTCAGTTCCACTTGTCCCTTCCCAAAGGCCCTATGCCATCAGGATCGCTGCCCTTTTGGGGATGATGCTAAAATCTCACTCTGTAATCTTGGCTGGTCTCTCAAGTCTTCCTGCTTCTGATGAGCTTATAACCTCCCCCCCCCCCTTTACATGACAGGGTTTCTTCTGCACTGTGGTGGCACACATTCAATCTCAGCACTCGAGGACAGGAGGATCTGAGTTGAGCCAGGAGAGCCAGGAATACAGTAAAACAGTCTCAAAAACAAACCAAACAACAAAAGCAAGACAGGGTTTCACTTTGTAGTCCTGGCACTCTGTATCCTAGGCGGTCCCAAACTCAGATCTACCTGTCTCCCTGATATTAAAGGCACACCACAGCCACCAGGCTCATTCCCCTTCCTTTTTTTGGGGGGGGTTTTCGAGACAGGGTTTCTCTGTGGCTTTGGAGGCTGTCCTGGAACTCGCTTGTTAGTCCAGGCCGGCCTCGAACTCAGAGATCCGCCTGCCTCTGCCTCCCGAGTGCTGGGATTAAAGGCGTGAGCCACCAACGCCTGGCTCCTTTGTTGTTTTTCAAGAAAGGGTTTCTCTGTATAGCTCTGGAACCTGTCCCAGAACGTGCTCTGTAGACCAGGCTGACCTTGAACTCAGATTCAGAATTCATGCCCTTCTTAAAGGCTGATCAGACTGACCCAAATGGTACCATTTCCTAGGAGCTGCCTGAATCCTACCCTCAATATGCCAACTCACAGTAGCCAGAGCCCTCAAAAGCTGCTTACAATGGCATAATACTCCCCCCACTCCAAGTCATCTCTAACTTGTGTTTCAGCACTCCGCCCTGCCTAGGTGTTAAACCCTGGAGATGAGACTAAAGCCCCCAGTCTGCTGGAAATAATCCTATAAATTATCTACCCACTTCCACTGAATTCTATGCCGGGCTTTTACAAAGCTTTCCTAATCAGCAACTTTTCCTAGAAACATGCAAGCTATTTTAGTCCAAAATTACCAGAATCTTGCAGTGGAAGGAAAGAAATCTACCTTGACACACACAACAGAAAAGCACCCACTACTGAGCTACAGCCCAGCCCCCTCTACCTTTTAATAATCTTAAGACTATCAAAATGATGCAATTCCACCTGGTTGTGGGAAATACATGGTGCCTGTGTAGTATGCGGGTTCAGTTTGACTATGGCTGTACACTGTTTAGGCCTGGGTAGTGAGTTTAAATGATCCTGTTATATACAATCCCCATCTTTTTCCAATCCCCACTCGGTGACAAGCTTTGAGTCCACACAAGATTTGCCACATGTCAAAAAGAGCTTTTATTCCTCGGTGCAGCCTCATGCTTTCTTGCCAGCGGCCTTTGAAGCGGGTGCTTTCTGGGCCGGGGTCTTCTGACCCTTCTGACCTTTAGCGGGAGCCGCTGCCTTCTGGCCTGCAGCCTTCTTGGCTGGTCCTGTAGCCTTCTTGGCTGGAACCTTGGCTTTAGCAGCAGCTGCTGCAGCTGCCGCCGCTGCAATGGCAGCCTTAGCAACAGGTGCCTTTTTGGGAGACGCTTTCAGGATAGCAGCTCTCTGAAGTTTCTTAACCTCGGTCTTGATTATTCTGTTCCTCTGGAAAACACAGGAGAGCATTCAGGACAGGCTCACACTAAACTTGCTTTATGCTCACTGTTTAACAAGCAATTAAACTGCTTCTTCCACAGAACTACGTTTAAGTAAGGATACTATTTTGCAAGGTCACTGTCCCCCTATACCGTGACAACAAATGTACATCTGAAAACTTACCATTTTCTTTGCCTTCATGACTTTGAAACGATCAAAATCTGTCATCTTGGCTTTCTGTTAAAAAGAAAACAAAATGATCTCTAATGTCATTTCAGCACATACTCGACCACCCAGAGCTCAAGGTTTCACGCCATTCATTACCCTTTCTCGGGCATCAATCTTCTTGGCCCATCTTGTGGCTGCCCATTTAGTATTGATGTCTGCCTTCTCCCAAGCTTTCCGCACGTACTTCTGGCGGGCACTATGGATACCAAGACCATGGATTAACAATCAGCACTGCAGTCACACACCCACAGACAGCAGCTCCCTCCTGCCAAACCCAGCTCTAGTTATCTTCCTAACACACAGGCACGCTAGAAAACGTCCAAATACGTAACTGCACTCAAAGACTGGAAAGGCACCTGTCTGAACACATGCGCTGCCACTCAGTGCATAAACCAGGTCTTCTGAAATTAACAAAAGCTACTCCTTACACCTGTTCATCCTTTGTACACTAACCTGGCTAAATTACCCACCCAAAACTGCTTTGACCCTCAAGACCTACCTGCAATCCCTCCAATATATGTTGACCGTAACCGCCCCCACCTCTGAACCCACTCATCTCCGGAACCACACTGGCCACATCTACTCTGTGGTGGCACATTAGAGGATGCTCCAGCGTACCAAACACTGCTAATCTGACAACCACACAGCAAGGCAGGGCAGGGGTTCTAATTTACATTTCAAAAATTTTAAAAAGTTGGTCATTTCTTACAAGCTGGAAATAGGCTTCTTTATGCTGGATACTTTGTAACCACCACACACCACGTCAGTCACTTTAAACGCTAACAGCACAAAACTTAAAAAAAAAACCCACAGGCCCCCTTGGTCACCGTTCAGTGATGCTTGCCAACACAATGAAGCCACAGGCAGTTCTGTTCTAGCAGCAACAGTAGCAACGCACCAAAGCCACTCTGGGAACAAACAGACTTCTCATTGCTTTTATTTTATGGGAAAAAAGAGGAGCTGGGCAGTGGTGGTCATGCCTTTAGTCCCAGCACTCAGGAGGCAGAGGCCAGCCTAGTCTACAAAGATATAGAGAAACCCCATTGGGGGGGATGATGACAAAATACAGAGTGGTAAGGGAAGAGACCAAATATGGACACAACTTTCATGCTGGCACAATAATGACTGGGCCACCTTAAATAATTTAATGTAAGTTCTGGGTTGGCTGGGAACCCTCCGTAGTGTCTGCATATCCTAAGGGGCACAAAACTGGAAGGCAGGCAGCTACAGCAGGGTTACCTGTGTGGGAACTTGAGGACGAAGTCGGTGAGCTGCATACACTTGAAAGGCATGGCCTGTCTCCTCACCCGAGTGCAAGGTCCATCCACTAAAGCCTGGAACACAGAAACAAGGGTCTCAGATGCCCGCAAACTACAAACTCTCTCCACCGCTACACGACTGGATGTGCTTGACTACTCAAAAAAAGCCAACAGCTTTCTGTGAGCTCCCGGTCCCAAACTGATGGCAAACTCCTTGCCCCAGAGGCTTGCTTACAGGCGCCATGGCACCCAACCTCAGGGCCTTCAACAAAATCCACCAATAGCTTTACCGCCAGCCCCTCTTAACTTTTACTTGAACTCACCTGCATTTTGACCCTGACTGAAACATCTGCCTGGTGTACTTTGTGAGGTAATCTAAGAAGAGCTAACTCCACGCTGTGCTTCAGACTCCTCCGTGTCCTGGGTTCCCCCTCAAAGGTGAAGCTGTAACCTGAAGCACCCCCCCACCCCGAGGACCACCTACGGTGCGGCCAAACTCACGGCCGCGCTGACTATGGGGCTGTGAAAACGCTTGCTCTCGCACGTACCCTATTCTGATCGATCACATCCACGATCGCGACCAGCTTGCCGGCATGAGGCCCGAAGGAGACGTAGGCCACCCGGCCGACCTCCACGTAGCGCCTGAACACCTGAAACAGGGAGAGAAGAATCAGGGCTTGGCTCTAACTATCCCAAGCCCGCGGCTTACCGGGCAACACAGGGCTCAGAGCCACCCACGAGCCGGATCCGCACTTTGGAAACCCGCGCCTTGCTCGGCTGAAATGCCCCGCGGCCTCCACCGTCAAGTCCCCGGGTTCGCCCCGGCCCATCCTGGAAACTCCCGCCGGCTACGGTGCCTTTGCTGCCGGTGAGGCAAACCCAGCGATCCGGTCGAGTCGGACCCCCGCCCCTCCCCGGCACCGCGAACGCTTCCCCCCCCGGGGACAAGGACGGCTGGGGGGAGCCCGCAGCGCCGCCACCCGGTTCCGGGGCCCAGCGCTCGGCGCCAGTGCGCACGCGTGGCCCAGGCCCGCCCGGCGGGGCCCCAGCACGCGACCACGGGCCGCGCTCCCTCCCGGGGCCGGATTCCGCGCCCCGCCGCCTCCCCGCGCTCGGCCCGCGGTCGCGCTGGGACATCCCCACGCCGCGGCTCGCCCTCCCCGGCGCGGAAGACGGGCGTGAGGCCGGCCGCGCTCGGAGCTCCGAGCAGACACACTCACCATGTCGGCGGCGTTCAGCGAGAAGGAAGAGGGCCCGCCCAGCCGTGCGCATGTGTCGTCGGGAGCCCCGCCCCGGCGTCCAGCGTGGCCGCCGATTGGTCGATCTGGAGACGTGCGTGTGTTCGCGCATGCTCGGTGGCTGAAAGCATGGCGGCGGCGCCTCCGTGCGGGGTGTTGTCTTATAGGACACGTGCCGCCGCGAGGTTGGCGTTCTCGTCTCCCGCTTCGCCGCCGCCGTTTGTTTGGGTTTGGTCTGCGACCGGGTCTCCCCGTGTTGGGCCTCCGCGCTGCGGAGTCCAGGCGGGTCTCACTCGCAGCCGCGCCCCCGCCGGCGCGAGTCTCCTAAACGCTGGCACGGACGGCGGGACGGGAAGCACGCGCGGGGCCCGAGCCTTCTGCTCGCTCACCGTCCGCGCCCCACGTAGCGTGTAGCGTCAGCCCAGTGTGGTAGCGCACGCCCGGGACCCCAGCACTAGGGAGGCAGAAACAGTTCTGAGTTCCAGGCCAGCCTGCTCTGCACACCCGAGTCCCATGCCAGCCGGGAGAACGTACAGCGAGATCCTGTTTCAAGAGACAGATTTGCAGGACACTGGGAACAAAAGGGGGCTGTGGCCGGACCCAGATTCCCAGACCTGCAGGTTTTCGCGTGCCACGGTTCCCTCACAAGTCTTAGATCTCCCCCCACCACCCTTTAATGCTGTTTCTTCTGCATCCATTTTCTTATGCTTGTGTGAAGGTGCGAGTGCCGCTGGGCCTCTGTCAGTACTTGTGGGACTTGGTTTTCTGCGTCCACAACGTAGGTCCCCGGGGACTAAACTAGGGTTGTCAGACCTGGTGGCAAGCACCTTTGCCCACTGGGTCAGTCAAATCACTGGCCCGAATTATATGGTTTTCAGACATGAACAAGAGTGGCCATGTCGGTACTTTTGTAGTTTTAAGTTGTTTTGAGACGGTCTCCCTATGTAACCCTGGCTATCCTAGAACTAGGTAGACCAGGCTGGCCTCCCAAGTGCTGGGATTAAAGGCGTGGGCCACCACGCCCAACCCTTCCCACTCTTCTAGCACAACTGGGAACTGCGGAGACCCAGAAGCAAGAGAATGGACAACTTTTTTGGTGGCATCAACAAAGTCCCTGAGACTTTGGAACACTTTGGGTGAAATTCACACAGAACCCTAAGTGAAGTAAACAGATACGAAGAATGTATATTGTATTGTTTTATTTTCACATAAAATTCACAACACAGCAAAACCCTGGATGTCAGAAGTATGGATTGTGGCTCAGTGGGTAAAGCAAATCTCTCAACACCGACATAAATGTACCATGGATGTAGTGGCCTGCCTTGTAATGCCAGCCCTCAGAAGCCTGAGGTAGTCTGCTCCCGGTGGCTCACCAGGCAAAGAACCTAGCCTCCTTTGGTGAGTCAGGTCCCACAACAGACCTGGTCTCAAAGCCTGAGGTGGAGAGCCCTGAGGGAAGATGCCTGAAGTCCACCACCAGCTTTCACAGCGGTGCGGTGAGTGCGCACAAACCTGAACCAGCGGTGCACACATGTGGGGACAGGCAAGCCAAAGCCACAAAACCAACTAGAATCAGTCCTTTCAGCGATGCACACCTCAGTTGCTGGAGGGCTTCTGAGTTGCTGGTCACGCTGTCCCTTCGTCCCGCCAGAACGACTCAAGAGTGTTTACTCTTTGCAGACAAAGATCTCCCTGCAGCAGCTGTGCTGTTTTTTCCAAGTGTGTATTAACTTAAAAAAAAATTTAAGCCGGGCATTGGTGGCTCATGCCTTTAATCCCAGCACTCGGGAGGCAGAAGCAGGTGGATCTCTGAGTTTGAAGCCAGCCTGGTCTAACGAGCGAGTCCCAGGACAGTCTCCAAAACAATACAGAGAACCCCTATCTCAAAAAACCAAAAAAAAAAATTTTTTTTAAAGACAAAAAAAGGAAAACCCTTTTTCTTCTTGATGAGAGTTCCCTGGCCCTACCATAACCAGAGAGTTGAACGCAGGTTGTGGGAGGGAGGGCTGAGATGGTTTACCGTCCGTTGGTATAGTGAGTATGCTTGGGGAAACACTAGGGAAATCCTTCAGCTCACAGGACTTTTCCATGAATATACAGCCGGGTTATGCCACCCGCTCCCGTCCCTTCAGTGTTGACCTTTACCCCTAGCCGACAGGAGGGACAGCATAACCTGGAGTTCCAATGTCCTCCACCATCTCACCTGGACACCCTCCCATGTTTTAATGTTTTGTTTTTTCCTCCTGGAAAGACCAGAGCACGCCTTTACCAAGAAGCATCAGGCTGCTTCAGGTTTTCTTTCAAACTGTGTTTCATTGGCAAGGGAACCTTCTCCAGACAAGTCTTGTCTTTGCGGCAATGCAGCTCTTCTCAGCCTTTGGGAGGAGACCCCGGGGTAGAAAGACTCACAAGGATCACCTGAGACCATCAAAAAACACAGACACTTACATTGTGATTCCTAACAGCAAAATTACAGTTATGAAGTAGCAGTAAAAGTAATCTTATGGTTGGGGGGGCACCACTGCACGAGTAACTGTGTAAAGGATCCAAGCATTAGGAAGATGGAGAACCTCACAATCGTCATGTATGCAAGGTATCCGATATTCAGCCCAGACCCAATGAGGCCTCAGCCTACAGGGACAGGGATCAAGATACCTGCGGCAGCCCTCAGGAACCAGACAGCAGACACAGCACGCACAAGACTCAGAGACATCCAGTCCGTGAACGGGAGAGCACCTGGCATGGACTCCGGGAGTCAAGACGGTGGCCGCCAAGCTCTGCTTCCTTGAACCTCTACCCAGTGCCCGTGAAAAGGTGGTTGAGGGGCTGGAGAGATGGCGTAGCAGAGTTCAATTCCCTGTGTCTACATTAGGTGGCCCACAACCTCCTGTAACTCCAACCCAAGAGGAACTAACACCTCTGGCCTCCAGCCGGAAATACACATAAAGAAAAGAAAAAGCCTGGCACCTCCAACAAGGGAAGTCCTGGGAGCACTCGGGATTTCAGCAGCCGCCCTGGTCATCGGGCCCCAGCCCTTGCTGCGGAAATCCAGGTGAGACACTGCAAAGATATACAGCAGGCCCCTGCCCAGACTATCACTGGCCGATGCCCCCGCTACTTCTGCCAACAGCTGCTCTGGGGGTGTACCTCGGATTGCCTACTCACTTAGGATGGCGGCCTCAGTTTGACAGAGGAAATGTTTGAAGCCTCAAAGGGGGGAAAAATGTCTGTGCCAGTAGTAAACCCAAAGCTAGCCTGCCCCTGACTGGTCTCCTTTAAAAGATATGTAATTATTATGAACATGTGTGTGCATCCATCTGCACGTGTGAAAGGCAGAGTCCGTGCAGGGTACCCCGATTTGCTGCCTATTGTGATGAGAAACACATGACCAGAAGCAACTGCAAGAGCCATAGTTACATTTTAAGTTCAAGCTACTGTGCCTAAGATCCATTAAGAAAAAACTCCCCCAGCCTGTAAGTCCCCTGTCCAAGGACAGCCGACACTTCCCGAAATGCTGGAGGCTATTGTTTATAGGAGGTAGCAAATCACTTGTTTTCACTCCCCCAACAAGCTCGTTTGACTCAACTACACCAAGTGTGCTTGGTCACATGTGGGCAGAAAATAGTCAGGATATATGCTTGTCCCTGATTGAACCTGATGGGAAATACAGCGGCTTTGTGGGATTACCTTCTGTTTTTGTTCTTTTTGAGACAGGGTTTCTCTGTGTTGCCTTGGCTGTTGTGGTAGACCAGGCTGGTATTGAGCTCACAGACATCTGCCTGTGTCTGCCTCCTGAATGCTGGAATTAAAGGAATGCGCCACCCCTCTGCAGCTGTGGAATTTCCTTTTTTTTTTAATTTTATTTTCCAGTTTAAATTTAGATAAGAAACAAGGTTGCTTCACAAGTCAGTTCCAGGTCCCTCTCCCATTCCCTCCCTTCCTCCCGTGCCCTCCCCCCAACCCCCCCCCCCCCGTTATCCCCGGAATTTCCTTTTTTAAAATCTCTGCCAGCATGACTGGTGGCCGTTTTCTGGAGACCCAGAAATGGACCTGGCTAGAGAGCCCATCAGCCTGGCCAGTATTTAATTAAAGCTTGCCTCAAATTTGGCTTTAAACTGTGGTAGTGATCTTTTCCCGACTGGTGGGATCAACCCAGTTGAGGAGGAAAGGGTTCTTTTGGCTTGGAGGGAAGGCGGGGCAGGAACCTGGGGGCGGGAACTGCAGCGGTCGTCATGGAGGAGCACAGCTTCTTGACTCACCCCTCTGGCCTCGCTCAGTCTGCCTTCTTGGACACCCCAGGACCACTTGCGCAGGGGTGAGACACCCCCAGTGGGCTGGGCCCTCCCACAGGAATCACCGAGTAGGAAGTGTTCCACAGCTTGCCTCTTATGGAGGCCTTTCTCAAGCGAGGGTCCCTCGTCCCAGACGACCATCGCTTGCCTCAAGCAGACAAAAGCAAAGCAGCACCTGGGTGTCTTCCTCTGTCACTCCACTCTGTGTCGAGAGCGTCTTCCACTGAACCCAGAGTTTGCCAGTTCTGGGCCACTGAGGCCCGGAAGTGTGCTTTCTCCTCCTGGCCAACACTAGCATGACCACTAAGTCCACCAATCCTGACTTTTCTTGCGTGTGGAGCTCTAAATTCAGGCCGTTATGGACACTGAGCACTTTGTACTAGTGTGTGTGTGTGTGTGTGTGTGTGTGTGTGTGTGTGTGTGTGGTGGGGGGGTCACCTTGGAGGTCAGGGAAGGCAGCCAATCCCCTAAGGCTACAGGCACCAGTAGTTGTGAGCTGGAACTGAGCCCTAATTCTCTGCAAGAGCAGCAAGAAAGCTCGCTCAACTTCCGAGTCGCTCTGCAGCCCCAAATGAGCCTGTTTCAATTTCTTGTTATTTTATGTGTATTTCTGAGCCCCAAGTGCAAAAGAACTTAGTGCCTGCAGAGGCCAGAAGACAGCGTCGCACTCCTTGGAACTGGAGTTTATAATTTAGTACCTGCAGAGGCCAGAAGAGGGCATCCCACCCCTTGGAACTGGAGTTTATAACTTAGTGCCTGTAGAGGCCAGAAGAGGGCATCGCACCCCTTGGAACTGGAGTTTACAGAGGGTTCTGAGCTGCCCTGTCCCCTGCAAGAGTGACAAGTAGTAGTAACCATTGAGCCACCTCTCCAGCCCCTCAACCAATCCCTCATCCCCCAGAAGTCTGCGTTTGCTGGAGCGTGAAGAGTGAAGCGGTTCTGTGTGAGAAATCCCAAGGGAAAGCTTTCGTTGGGACAGGTGAAGGAATGTTCCTGGCAAGGGTGACTGAAAATTCTTACCGCCCTGCAACATGTGTCCAAGGCCCTCTGCATCCTGGCCTGGGCCTGCTGTGTCCTACCCAGGGGACAGCAGAGACGGTGGGAATCAGCGAGGTGCTCTGGAAGACTGACAGGACGTGACTGGGCTAGCTCCAATGCGTACTCTTGTTTTGAGTTCTGCCGTCTGATACAGTGGCTGTTCTGACTCCGTGGTCCAGCATAGACAGCGCACACGGACCTGTATTCTGTAGATGGGGTCCCGGGAAGCTTTATCGCAGGAGGCTTTAGGGATGAAGCACGGGACAAGCAGCAGTTGGATTAGGAATGCGACTCCGTGCTAAGTGTTCTCCTGGGTACACGAGAACCTGGGTTCAAACCCTAAACACTGCCAAAAAGAATACGCTTAAAGCCAATCACAGTGGCTCGTTAAAGAAAGCTGACGTGCATGGGTTGTTCTTAAACACCAGTGGTCCTTCGTATTTCCTTGATTAGGCTTAGGTGACATCTCCAGTTCTTTTTACAAAGTAAAGTATTGTGTATAAACTGTGCATGGCCGGGCGTTGGTGGTGCACGCCTTTAATCCCAGCCCTCGGGAGGCAGAGGCAGGAGGATCTCTGTGAGTTCGAGGCCAGCCTGGTCTACAAGAGCTAGGTCCAGGACAGCCTCCAAAGCCACAGAGAAACCCTGTCTGGAAAAACAAACAAACAAGAAAACTGTGCGTGGCAGAGCAAGGCTGCAATCCCAGCATGCAGGAGGCTGCAGCAGAAGGTGCCAAGCGAGGCTGGGATGCATGGCAGGTACCAGGGCTGCATGGCAAAACTTTCTCAAAACCAAAACAAGCCGGGCGGTGGTGGCGCACGCCTTTAATCCCAGCACTCGGGAGGCAGAGGCAGGTGGATCTCTGTGAGTTCGAGACCAAGCCTGGTCTACCGATGGAGTTATAGGACAGGCTCCAAAACAATACAGAGAAACCCTGTCTCGAAAAAACCAAAAAAACAAAACAAAACAAGCCTGGAGAGGTGGCTCAGTTGGTGATGTGCTTGCCACCTGAGTGTGAGGACCCCTGAGTTCAACTCCCTGGAGTCCACATTAGACGGGAAAAAAAAGAAACTATTCGTGATAGCATAAACTTGTAATCATGGTACTGAGGTGGGGTATGAGACTGGTAAGTCCCTGGGCTAGGGGGCCAGCCAGCTAGACTACAGTGGGATAGCCCAGTTAGTCCTTCCCTCTGCCCCTCCTTCCCTCTGCCCCTCTCTGGCTGTGGTGTTGGCTAATTAGCCGCTAACCTCTTTTCCACTGTGGAATGGCATTTCAGGGCTCTCGTTACGGTAGGTGTGGTGGTGCGTACTTGCAATCCCAGCTACTCAGGAGGCTGAGGTGGGAGCAATGAGGCTGGGCTGTACCAGTGTGCACAGATCTGAGATCGGGTGTGAGTGAAAACAGTACCTCTGTGAGCAGCAGGGGTGGCTGAGAGTCAGTGGTGCGCGTGCGTGGTGCGCGTGCGTGGTGTGTGTGTGTGTGTGTCTGTGTGTGTGTGTGTGTCTGTGTGTGTGTGTGTGTCTGTGTGTGTGTGTGCGTGTGTGTGTCTGTGTGTGTGTGTGTGAGTGACTTTTGGGGGTATAGGTGTCTGTACATGGAGCACAGATGTAGGGGCCATGAGAGTCAGGATAGCTGGGACAGTGTATGAGAGTCAGGATAGCTGGGACAGTGTATGAGAGTCAGGATAGCTGGGACAGTGTATGAGAGTCAGGATAGCTGGGACAGTGTATGAGAGTCAGGATAGCTGGGACAGTGTATGAGAGTCAGGATAGCTGGGACAGTGTATGAGAGTCAGGATAGCTGGGACAGTGTATGAGAGTCAGGATAGCTGGGACAGTGTATGAGAGTCAGGATAGCTGGGACAGTGTATGAGTTTGGGACAGGTGTGGCTTTATGAGCACACAGACACAAGCAGGGTTGAGACATCTGTGGTGTGTACAATGTGAGTGTTACAGACAGAGCTCACTTACAGGTGTGAGAAACACAGATGTACCAAAGGAGACGTCTTTGGCAAGAGGAGAGACACTCAGCGCTGGCTTTCCCACCTACACGACGAAAAACTTGCAATTTGGCCGTTATGCCGAACACCCAGCACTTTTAAAAGTAAACACCGAGAATGGTCTGGTTTTATTAGACACGTGTTTGTCTTTAAATTAATAAACCGGGAGGCTCCTAGAAGTCAGAGACTGGCAAGTAAAATCAAGACGCTTGACATTCTTTAAGATTTACATTATTTAAAACGTTTTTCATTTGCTAACCTTTGTGTGTATGGCATTTTGTTGGCAAGTCTGGCTGTGTGCATTCAGTGCTGGAGGAGGCTAGGAGAGGGCATCAGCCCCTGGGTCTAGAGACACAGACAGCCGTGAGCTGCCATATTGGTGTGGGGAGCTGAACCCAGGTCCACTAGAAGAGCAGCCAGCTCTCTTAACCAACGAGCCATCTCTCCAGCGCCTGTTTTTACTTCTGACGTATGCATCTCTGTGAGTTTCTGCAAGACCCCATCTCAAACCCAAAACAAGAGCTGGGGAGATGGCCCAGTTGGTCAGTAAAAGATATGCAAACCTGATGATCTGTGTTCAGTGCCCAGAACTCAAGTTAGTCAATAAAAAGTAAAAACTGGCATCCCAGCACCAAGGAGGCAGAGGCAGAGCTACATAGTGAGAATCTCTTTCTTTTAAAAAATATCATCCTGGGCTGGAGAGATCGCTCAGAGGTTAAGAGTATTGACTGTTCTTCCAGAGGTCTTGAGTTCAATTCCCAGCAACCACATGGTGGCTCACAACCATCTGTAATGAGATCTGGTGCCTCTTCTGGCATGTAGGCAGAACACTGTATATGCAATAAATAAATTAATTAATTAATCAAAAAATACCATCCTATCTCTTTCAGAGAAAAGGGTCTCATACTTAAGTTAACGGACACACATTGCAAAATAAAAACAAGAGTTTATTCCATACGGCGCCAACAACCAGCCATGTGAAACAGCATCGATTTGTCGCTTGTAGCTCCCGGGCTTGCCGAAGCCTTTCTCATCCGACTTTGGAGGTGGAGACTCCAAATATGGAGATGTGCAGCAGCTACTTGGGGAGAACTGTAACCAGGGGAAGTAACTGACCAGAAACTCCAGACTGGGACGTCTTAGCACAGGATCAAGTATGCCTGTGAGGGTTGTGGGAAAACCACGTCCCATGAAGACAGTAGCAAGTCAGCCCTGGGCAAGAGTCTTGCCAGGTCAATGAGAGCCACTCCCCTGCAGCCGACTGGGTGTGATCAGAGGAGGACACAGCCTTGTGAGGCGATTACACAAGGACTATGACACACACCAAGTCTGTCTCATGACCAGAGTCCCCAGTGGGAATTCCACAATGAGGGCAGCTACCGTCTTAGGAACTTGTATGCTTCTGTCTGCTTCAGGCTCTGTCTGCATGACAAAGGCCAGGAATCCTCGGGGCCACAAGAGTCTTCTTAGCTGGGGTATGGTTCAGTTGGTAGAATACTTGCCTAGCATGCATGAAGCCCTGGGTTCTAGCCCCAGCATCTCATAAACTGGGTACAGTGATTCACAGCCATAATTGCAACACTCGGGAGTAGATCAGAAGTTGAAGGTCATCCTTGGCTACACAGTGAGTTGGAGGCTAGCATGGGCTACATGAGACTCAACACTATGAGCTTTCCCAATAAATGCTACATCCTACCAGTCAGGGAGCTTAACGCTTATGGGATTGCCAAAAGAAAGTATCGTGGCTTGAGATAGGGCTGGACTCAAATGAAAGACAAGAGAGTCTTACAAAGGACCTATAGGAGGGAGCGTGGGTGAGATGTCTCCGTCAGAACCTTCATGGGTGCCTCGCTAGGAAGAATAGTGATGGGGAGAAAATGGAAACCAAGCCCTGTGGTCAGTACCTTCCTCGTTAAATTATTATATTCTCAACTTCCTCTAGAGTGGATAGAGTGAAGTCCCCGAATGAGACAGCCTGCGTCTCCTTGATTCCCAGCGGGTCAGCAATCAGGTGGGGAGGGGTCGCAGGGGCAACTCTCGCTGGGTAGTTGAGAGACTCCCGGGAGGTTCTCTGGCAGGAACCAGTAGCTGCAAGACACATGACCTTGGCACGTGGCCGTGGAGCAGGTCCCAGTGGCAGCCACTTGGCTCATACTGCCTGGTGTCGCTACAAGGCAGCCTCGGGCTCCAGCTGCTGCTTGAAGTCTCAGTCAGAATCTACCGCTTGGTCGAAGGCATTCTCAGAGCGTCCCTTTGTCCTGAATGCTGAACACAGATACAAAAGAAATGCCAGGCACAGCAAGGCGATGGCCGTGAAGAAGGCCAGGACCCCCATGAAAACCGGTGGCTGTATGGGTAGACGGATCAGGGCGCTTCCAGCTGGGATCTGGTTGGTCAGGGTGAGCATGTAGCCTAGGGACCAGGCAATGCTGCTGTTCCCCACCTGTGGAGGAGAGTGGGTAGCTCAGATCTCAGGCAGGGCTGCAGGCTGGTCCCAGCCCACACTACTGTCAGCCCCACAATGGCACCCTGAAGAGAACTACGGTCTAAGAAGGTCAAAGGGTTTGCATGGGTTCTGATACTACACCACAGCCACAAAGAATTTGGGTTCCCCTTTTAGTACTACAATCAGAAAACTGAGTTCCCCACAAGCCGGTCTAAGCAGTCCCAGCAGTGAAACCATCCCTGCGGTGAAGGGATTCAGCCTTGTTTGTGCTTAAGGAAAGGGCTAGGTCTTTACCCAACCCAAGATTGGTTCCTAGGAGTCACGTGCAGTCCAAATGGGAAACCCACTGTGTTCATGTCTTGGTTGGTCCATCTTCCCTCCTCTGCCCTTCTCTTCCCTTCCCTTGCCCCTCTCTTAAAACAGGGTCTCATTAAGTAACTCCTCCTAGCCTGGAATTCACTCTGTAGACCAGGCTGGCCTGGAACTCAGAGATCCACCCGTCTTTGCCTCCAGAGCACTGGGATTAAAGGTTTGCTTCACCACACCTGGGCTTCAATCTTCTTTTTGACTACCGTATTTGAGGTCATTTTTGTTGTTATTGTTGTTTGCATCTCCATATTTTTGAGCTTGTTTGTTTTTTTGAGACAGGGTTTCTCTGTACTGTTTTGGAGGCTGTCCTGGAACTCTCTCTGTAGACCAGGCTGGCCTCCAACTCACAGAGATCCACCTGCCTCTGCCTCCCGAGTGCTGGGATTAAAGGTGTGAGCCACCAACGCCCAGTGAGTTTGCAATCTTTATAGCTTTATAGTGAATCAAATTTATCATCTGTATCCTTAATCTCAAAGTGCCTCTATCCACTGAGCCATTTCCCTGGCCCTTTGTTTGATATTAAGAAACCGTTTTGCTGGGCGTTGGTGGCGCACCCCTTTAATCCCAGCACTCGGGAGGCAGAGGCAGGCGGATCTCTGTGAGTTCGAGGCCAGCCTGGTCTACAGAGCGAGTTCCAGGACAGCCTCCAAACAATACAGAGAAACCCTGTCTCAAAAAACCAAAAAAAAAAAAAGTTTTTTAAACTTTCAATTTGTATACATATTTTTTAACTTTTAACTTATATATTAGTATGAGACAGGATCTCACACATTACAGGCTGGTCATGAATTTATATGTAGCAGATGATGACCTTGAACTCCCAATCCCCATGCTCCCACCTCCTGGGTACTGGGATTATAGATGGTTGACACCATGCCTTGCTAGCACAAGTTGTGGCATTCAGTACTTGTTAGAATCCCTTTGCAAATCACCCCCTCTGCTCTTGCTGTAATGCCCCCAAGCGATAACCAGAGAAGCAGCCTGACTTGTTGAGTTTTAAAAACCTAATCTGACCTTGTTTGTCTTGGTAACTGAACTGGTAGTTTTAGCATCCCAGGTTGGCCTCAAAAAACACTTTATAGCTGGATGACCTTGAACCCCTGACCTCCTGCCACCTGAGTGGCAGGTCTGTGGGGTACTGGGGAAGCTAGGGTTCTACCCAGATACAATATATGTTAGTCAAACAGTCTACCAACCCAGCCACACCCAAGTTAGACCTTGAGACTAATGAAATTGATGATTTGGACTTCTAATATTACATTTTAATGATCTCCATTCACGCTGCTTCCCTGAATTTATTTCCCCCTGCTCTTGCCTCAAGATGGTATATGGGGGCTGGAGAAGTGGCTTAACGGTTGAGTGCAGACTGCTATTGCAGAGGACCCAAGTTCAATTCCCAGTACCCACACTGTGTGGCTCCAACAGCCTGTAACTTCATGCTTCAGCATCTGCACACACACACACACACCACACACACACCACACACATATACACGGCACATACATATACATACCACACACACCACACATACATACACCACACCCACACACACACACACACACACCACATACATACACAACACATACACTTACTTTTTTTTTTTTGAGACAGGGTTTCTCTGTACTGTTTTGGAGGCTGTTTTGGAACTCGCTCTGTAGACCAGGCTGGCCTGGAACTCACAGAGATCCACCTGCCTCTGCCTCCCGAGTGCTGGGATTAAAGGCGTGCAGCACCAACGCCCGGCTTGAATTTTTTATTATTAGAGTAAAATTTTTTAATTTTACAGTGTGTCTGTCTGTCTGTCTGTCTGTCTGTCTATGTGAACATACATGCAGCAGCACCTGTATGGAGGTCAGAGGACAACTTGCAGGAGTCAGTTTTCTTCTCCGTGTGTGTCTTGGGGACTGACTCAGGTCACAGGGCCCACCGGGAAGTGATTTTACCAGCTGAGCCATCTGTGCAGTGCCGGGAAGGAAATTTAACCCAAGAATGTCGTCTCCCCAATGCAGAGACAGCCTCCCCTCTTACAGTGTCCTTGGCAGGTGATTGCACTTGCTGGGAGAGGCCTTGGCTCCCAGGCCAACAGTCCACACCTCTAGACATTCTCATGTTTTTTATAGATGACTCAATTTTACTTACATGAAAATAGACAGTTCCAGGCTTAATTCGGGATATTGATTGGATTAATCCAATTTTACCAAAGCTGGAACAGAAGAGGATGGCTGCAGACATCCTGTAGGCTTTACTCCAGCCACTCCTGAACTGAGAGCATCCTACCGGAACTGGGGAATACAGTAGCGGCCAGACAGACTCACAAGGCAAGTCCTGCCTGAAACAGCTGTCCTTCTACTTCCTAAACCTCTTAGTCACTAGGCAACATCTGCCTAACTAGCTAGCTGTCATCTGTGTGTTCATGAGCCTAATTATTTGCCCATCTCCTTCCAGTTATATCCTCCACATGCCCATCATCATTTAATTATAATCTACCGTTCTGCTATCCATCCATCCATCCATCTCCCATCTAATCTAATCTAATCTGTCTCCATCATCCTTTGTCTGCCTATTAACACCTACCTAGTACTGAGACAAGAAGGCCCTCCCCATCCCTAAGTCTTGCCTGTAAACACAGTGACCTAGGGTTCCTTTAAAGAGAAAAATTCTTATTTAATTAATGAGGAGCTAACGTGAACCCCTCATGCCCTCAACACTGCTTCTTACATCGTCTCTGGTATAACATGGAGAGCAATTAATTATTCTGTTATAAAACAAATTATAAGCCAGGAGTGGCAGTGTACATCTTTAATCCATGTATTTGCACAGTGAGCTCCAGGCCAGCCTGGTCTACACAGTGAGCTCCAGGCCAGCTAGCACTACATAGTGAGACCATGTTTCAAAAAAAAGAAAAAAAAAGGAAGGAAGGAAGGAAATAAAAAAAGTGAATTCAACTTGCAGTATTTTTTGGAATGAAAAGTGTCAGGCTCTTCTATGTGATGGTCTCTCACCAAAACGTTCCTCCGTACCGACTACACTCAGCCTGAGCTGAAGACTGGCATCCGGCATGCCCAGACACCCCCCACCCTCAGGCATCCATCCATGGGCCCTCAATTCCAGTCTTCTCATCTGCAGCAACCTCCCGAGAACAAACAACCGCTTTAAGTCCTGTCACCTCTCTTCCTGGGGTGTTCACAGGTAACCAGCAAGAAGAGTGTGGGGACAACAGACCATCATTGATGTTACACATGTAGCATTAGAAGAGGTCATCCTTTAACCTCTGGCCTCCCCTCCCCATCCACGCACATCACCCTTTCCACGGCCAGGAGAAAGGGGAAACGGTCTGCGCTTTGACTTACTTCTTTCTCAAAGCGTATCCGAGGCCAAGTCTCCTCCGTGAATTTGTAGCCGTTTACGAGCAGGTGGTAGATGTAGTGGGCTGAGAAGCAGTAGGAGCGGGCGTACACCTCGTCGAATCTGGGAAGCAGGGACGGGAGCTGGAAAGGAGGAAAAGACACGAGGGACGGGCGTGGATGGGCGGTTCCCGGGTCTGCACTCGGGAACTACCTGAGGGCGACGGCAGAGTTTCAAAGCCCACCGCTCGGCACTTCGAGATGAAAATGACAGGCAACCCAGTTGCACAAGAGCTGAACTGTCCCCCCAGGGCTGCCGCATAGTGCAGGCGGCCAACGGAGACTGCAGGCGGCCACGGAGACTGCCGACACCAATGCTGCTCCAACCCGCCATGCTTGAACACGCACTGTGCGCGCGCGCGCGTGCACACACACACACACACACACACACATGCTTGCATAGGCACACACACACAGACATATGCATTACTCAGGCGATGCTTCTTAACCCTCGGAGCATAAACTGCCTGACGCTCTAAACAAAGCTGGCGATTGCACCGGACTTCATTCCTCTTGGTTTGTCAGCTCCGTTCACTCAGGCCCCACCACCTCTACAAGGGTAACCACATGCATACACACAGATACACATACACAAATATACGCACTCATGCATGTTTACACACATGCATGCACACACTCGAGCACAGGCATGTGCGTGCACACATACACATGCTTGAGCACGCCTGCTCGGACGCACACGTGTACACACACACACACACATACACGCACACACATGTTCTGCTGTACCGTCTGCCCTGATTCTCACTCACCCTCTCTTTTCCAATACTGACCTCCATCCAGGTGTGTTTGCAGAAGTCCCAGCTACTGCTGTTGAAGGCGGCAAGGGGGAAGCTTCCCGAGAGGTTTAGCGCACTGGCTGTGTAATAGAACCCTGCAAACGCCTGTGAGCGGGACAGAGGCAGTCAACTCTCCAAGGGAGTGTGCTATGGAGCTATCTGGGGAGGGAATAAAGACGGCAGGACAGAGGAAGGAAAGGGGATGGGAGAGGGACCCCCCCCTGGGGGTGCGGTACGGCGCCCTCCCCCCCATCTACCAATCGACTTTTGGTCTCACCACAAATGGCCCTTGAACTTTGGGCTGGTAAACGCCATCAAAGGAACAAGCGTCTTGCTCCTGGCAAGCTTTGAAGTCAAACACAGAAGCCACCTTCTCCCTGCACAGCCATGGGTCTCCAGTTCCCAGGAAGGTGACGACATCACCGGGGTTGTATCTGTCTGGCCTGTGCTTCTCCGTGCACAGGCTGCCGAACACGTGGCCCAAGTCGAAGGTGGAGCTGTAACCCCGGGGGTAGCAGGGGTTGCTGATGTTGGTTCCGGTGGGCGAGCTCTGGAGGTGTGACAGGGAGGTGTGAGGTGGGACAGTTTCCTTCTGGAAGATTCTCCCCGCCACTACCCTGCAGTGCCCAAAGAGAGGCTGACAGTGAGCCACCACTGCACAATGTGCTCTGCTGCCAGAGAGAGCGGGGTCCTAAGAACTCGCCCAAGAGCCTTTTCGGCTCACTTGGAACATACATGCACATGACAGACAGACACACCAAACACTGGCAGGTAATAAAAATCGTAACGATTTATTCTAAAACAGCTTGGGAAGGGTGGGGAGATAGATGCCTCAGTCAGTAAGTGCTGTCTGCTCAAGCATGAGGACCCGGTGTGTGTGTGTGTGTGTGTGTGTGTGCTCTCATAGGTGCGTTTGTGCACACACCTGTGGAGGCCACAGGTCAATTTTAGGTGTTATTTCTCCAGCGTCATATACTTGGTTTTTATTTCTTTTAGTAAGATGATGATGATGATGGTGGTGATAATGATTTTGAGCAAGGGTCTTACTGTGTAGCCCTGGTTGGCTTGGAATCATTATATAGACCAGGCTGGCCCCAAATTTACAGAGATCCACCAGCCTCTGCCTCATGAATGCTCGGATCAAAAGTCTGTGCCACTCCACCTAGCCTTTGTAAGTATTTGTGTGTGTGTGTGTGTGTGTGTTCGTGTGCACACATGCACACGTGAGCATTTGGGTTCTCCCAGAAGCCAGAAGAGCGTGTCAGATCCCCCGGAACTGGAGTTGTAGGTTGTTGTGCGTCATCGTGTGAGTGCCGGGAACTGAACCCCTGCCTTCTGAAAGAGCTCACTAGGTAGACTGGGCGTAAAGTCAGAGCTCCTCCTGCCTCTACTTCATCAGCGCTGGGACTAAAGGTGTGCGCCACCACACCCAGCCGTGCCTGTCCGTAAGCTTGCCCAGCAAGCTGAGCTGTCACTGCAGTCCTGACCCTCCCTAGTGTTTCTTACATTTGCTGAGAGTGGTTAGCACAGCAGAGGAGGAAAAGGAGACAGGAGAGAGGGAGGGAGAAAGAGACCCGGGATTATGTGAGACTATGGTGTCGTTTCTACCCACTTTGCAGACTGGAGTGAAGTTGGGCAACCGAGGCAGACCCTCCCACCAGCACCTGCAGAAGCATGGCCAGGAACTTCTTCTCTGCCTCGTTCCGGCCGTAGCACTGGAAGCTGTGTGTGTAGAGCGTGTACGTGTAGCCGTACAAGGACACCTGCACCGTGTCACTGGCATTCGGCTCCATCTTCTCTCCCGACACAAAGGATATCTGGGTGGAGGCGCCGCCCAGATCCAGGGCTCCTGTGGTGTCTACTCCGTGCGGGTGAACCCACATGTGCCATAGGTTCTTCTGCATAGCGGGAAAAGGAGGTAAGAAGAGAACCAAAGACACCATCTCCGCTTGCCCGGGCTCTCCACCCAAGTTCCCAGTCCTACTGCTAGGCGGGACGACTGCACTCACGGCTGGGTCTCTCCTTTTATTCTAGGGACCATAAACTGCATTGGTTATGCAAATGCAAGCAGTGCACGACCCGTGTGTGACATAGGCAGGCAGGCAGGCAGGCAACACACCAGAGAGGGTCTGGTTGTGCGCTGCCCTGCTGGTAGATTCCCTGCTCCCCTGTTACTGTGTCTAAGGTCTCTAAAGCTAGGAGAGGCTATATGCGTGGAGTTTCATGTGAGGTTTTCCCAATATTAATCACGCCAGCCAATTAACATTCAAAATATATTTGCGGGAGGAATCAAAGTTCTAGTCTGGGATGTGTCTCTGCAGGGAGGGGACCGTGAGGAAGACAGGGACACAGCGAAGACTCCTTCTCCCTGGGGACTCTGTAATTCCCAGGTAGTTATGAGTCTCTTGGAAGGGCCATCCTCACGACGCCCTTCTGAACATCTGAGGCCCAGGGTTCAATTTAGATTCCTCTCAAATTCCTTACGAACGATCAAAGTGATGCACTTTCTCTCCTCGTCCATGCGTTTGGTCCAGGGTGTGAACGCCCTTCAGGTGGCCTTTGCCCCATAGCGCTTCCCCAGTGCACCACATGGAAGGAATTCCCCCTGAGCCAGCCCCTCCACCTCAGCTATCGCCCACGGGAAGGGGGGGCGGGGGACGGGACAGGATAAATGGTGAGATTAGAAACCATGCATGTCTTTCCACACACCTCCAGGAAATTTCCCATTATATAGTTGGCTGTAATCCATCCATACACCCCTTCCTCTTGCCCAGAAATGATCTGAGCACCCCTAAAGTCAAAAGGCTGGGACTCGAAGTAGCTTTGGATGCTCTCAAGGACTTCACGAGCTGCTGTCTCATTCTGCAACCTACGCAATGCACAGAACACAAGAGACTGAGCACTGAGGCATGGTGGGCTCCTGTCAGCTCCCTCGGGCGACTGACAGGACAGCCTCCTCCCAGCCCGTTCTGTAGGTCTCCCGGGGTGGCTGGGCAGGTGGGGTGCACTTCGTTACCTGACAGAGCCCCCATTTGTCATCGTCCTCCCCCTCTCCCACCCCTGGCTGGTTCTTCCACCAGGAGGTAGGTAATCAGAAAGACCTCTTATCTGTTTTGTTTCAGCTCAGGTCAGCGGAGGGCGTAAGACTGGAGATGGCACAGCAGCGACCTACAGTCGCTGGGGGCGTCACAGAAAGGAACCTCACCTGGCTGAAAACCTGAGCTTAGGATGCAAGGGGAAGAGCACCAGGGGCAGAAGACACCAGCATGCAACCCTCAGAGGCCTCAGCACAGCATCACCGGGCTACCCAGGCACAGTGAGTGTCGTCACAGCACCTTCCTGTCACAGTACCCTGGAGAGCAGCGGTTCTCAATCTGTGGGTCGCGACCCCTCTAGGGGTCAGACAATGCCCTTTGATGTGGATCACGTATCAGATACCCTGCATATTGGATATTTACATTACGATTCGTAAAGGTAGCAAAATTAGAGCTATGAAGTAGCAACGAAAATAATGTTATGGTTGGGGCCAGCACAACACAAGGAGCACCGCAGCCTCAGGAAGGTTGAGAACCACTGCTGCTCTACAGAAAGCTCCCGTGGAGGAACTCTTCCTTTGTTAGTGGGGAAGGAAGCTGGGGCGCTTGCTTGCTCGGGGGGGGGGGGGGGCAGAGAGCGGGGTGGGGGTAGGAGGAAAAGGCCCTGGTTGCTTCCGGCAATGGTAAGGATAAAGAAATATCGAGAAAGGTCCCATCCAGCAGCAGACGCTCTGGGCTCTTTACATGGTGGTGTTAAAACGCCCGGGCCTGCCTAGTCCTTTCTCCTGCTGGCATCATGAGCAGGGCACCTTACTTCCAACACCCCGAGCAGCCTGTACCCTGGACAGATTACATTTCCATTTGTTCCTCGAATTATTATTATTATAAGATTTGTTTATTATATATACAGTGTTCTGCCTGCATGCAAGTCTGCCATCCAGAAGAGGGCACCAGATCTCATTGCAGATGGTTGTGAGCCAACATGTGGTTGCTGGGAATTGAACTCAGGACTTCTAGAAGAGCAGCCAGTGCTCTTAAACCCTGAGCCATCTCTCCAGTCCCCATCTGAGATTATTTTAAAAATTCTATTTCAAGGTCAAGGAAATCCTACAATGAAGAAACTAGGGATGTAGTTCACTGCCTCGCATGCTCAATGCCCAGCACAGGAAAACAAAAACATAAATAAAAAAGAGAAAAAAACATTAAATCTGGTTGGCATGGTGGCCCATACCTATAATCTGCAGAGGTAGGAGGATGACTATAAATTCAAGGACAGCCTGGGTTACATAGTAAGTTCCAGGCTAACCTGGGCAACAGAGTAAAACCTATCTTAATAAAACAAAGACATAAAAGATATGTATATACACACATAAATATACACACACAATATATACGTGTGTGTATTTGTGTGTGTGTCCATCCGTGTCCCTGGAATCAATCTCATGTTCTATAGATTCAGCAGGAACAGAGTGGATGGAATGAGATGTTTCTTCCATCAAAATTCCAAAGGCTTTCACCTGGGTGAGGGGCAGACACTGCATTATCTTACAAAGGGTTCTGGAACATTCTGCACAGGGTAGAGCCTACGTGGCTAAGGGCAGAACTCACCACAGAGTTTAACTGACTGTTTGCCCATGCCAAAAACAATAACTGTTCTCCAAGGAAGTACAGGCTACCCAGTGATCAGATGTCATGCCAATCTGACCTTTTCTTTACTCCTTGGTAAAATCACCACGGGGACGGGACCCAGTTTAGAAGTCTTTCTTTCTTGCTATGAAAATAAAGGTGGCTACAAGTTCCCCAGTCATCAGAGCCTAAACTTGAGCAGAATATGGGCTTTGTTCTCTTGGGTTTGCTCCCAGAAACAGTGACGTCCCTGGCTGTCTTGGTCCCATGAGCTCCCCTGTGCCCTTGGTCCTTACCGCAGCAAACGCATCCCAGCTGTGGCTCCCAGGTAAACTCGGGTGGACCCGTGGAGGGGCTCGGGGACCTGCTCCTTGATCTTTAGCATACAGTCCTCAAAGGCCTTGGGGGCGTCTTGGGGATTATTCTCATAGCTGGAGATTCCAGAGCCTAAAAAGCAAGCAGTCGGAACTCACTAGCCTTCCTTAGAGCAAACGGCAGTCAAAAGACTTTTAAATAAAAAGTCAGGGGATGGGGAGATGGCTCAGCAATAAAATATTTGCAAAGTAGACACAAGCACCCGAGTTCTGGCTCCAGAACCCAAGTAAAAAGCTGGGCATGACGGCGGGTGCTTGTAATCCCAGCTTTGGGGGTGGCAGAGACAGGAGGGTCCCTGTGGCTCCCTGGCCGGTTGCCTAGCTTACTCTATAAGCTCCAGGTCAGTGGGAGATCCTATCTCAGAAAGGAAGGGGGGGAGGGATGGAGGGAGGGAGGGAGGGAGGGAGGGAGCGAGGGAGGGAGGGAGGGAGGGAGGGAGGGAGGGAAGGAAGGAAAAAGAAAAACCTGAGGCGGATGGTGCCTGAGGACCCGCAGCCAAGGCGGTCCTCTGACTGCCATAGGCGTGTACACACACCTATGAACCCTCACACACTTCTGTCCATTGGCAGAAGGAGCTCTTGGCTGCCTGGATGCCACCTGTGAACCCTCGGAACACCCAGAAAAGAACCATCTCTCCTCCGACAGTGTCGCCTCAGGAATCTGTGCAGACTGCGAGGGGTCAGAGACCGCAACCTCCAGCTGAAATTACATAGTGGGAGTTTGGCAAGGGTCACACCCTTGAGGACACGTGGCTGCTCCAGCACTAACTGCAGTTTCCGTTTGCTCAGAGCGGCGGCCAGTCACGTGGGTTGGTGAACCCAAGCACATCCCAAAGGTCTAGACCCTCAGGATGCCCTCAGTGGTATCAATCCCTGCTTCTGTTGGCGGTCTCCATTTAAGTGTCTGCAGCTCTGCTGTGGGAAAGCCACTCTGCATGGCCTGGTTCCCAGCACACACACACACACGTGTGTGTGTGTGTGTGTGTGTGTGTGTGTGTGTGTGTTGTCTGTCTGTATGTATGTACTACTGGGTGTGTTCCTCTCCTCCAACACTGCCCACCCTACAAGCACGTACCGTCTGTCTGTCTGTCTGTGTGAATGTAATGCTGGGTGTGTCCCTCTCTTCCGACACCACCCACCCTACAAGCAAGTACCACCTGGCTTTCTCCCATCATCCTGTGCAAACTGGGAGCTGGGGAATTCGCTCCAGAAAACGCTGAGCCTTCGCTTAGTGCTCTCGCTGTGGGGAGGCAGGCCCTTCCTTTCTCACACACAAGACTCATGTTTCCTGCCATCACCGAGGAGAGCCCGGAAGGGGCAAATCTCAATTCACTGACATCCCAAGGCAGAGAGCTGTGAAGAAAGGACTAGACCAGGCTGGCTCCACAGCACGGTACGTCACGCTCTCCTGCCCTCCAGCCCAGGCCTCCCGGCCCCTTTACCTTTCACACTGCATTTGAAGGTTTGGCTGACCACGCCCGTGTTATTCTCCTTCTCTGCTGGCCACTGGTACACGTACACGGTGGTTCTGGAAGAGCCAGCGTCCAGCACGATTCCATACTGAAGGGAAGGGGAAGAGAGTTGGGAGCAGGCTGGGCCCTTCTGAGTGTTCTTCTCCACCCTGGACCACTGAGAGCCGCGGATGCCATTTTAATGTATTCTTGGAGAATTTCAGATGTGCATAAAATTATTTCGGTCCTATCACCTCCCAATTCCCTCTCCAACTCTTCACGTCACTCCTCCCACCCCAGTGTTGTCTTTTCATAACCCACCGAGTCCAGGGTCATTCTTGTGAGGCCATTACTGCTACCCAGCCATCCTGCCAGGGGCCACTCCCCTAAGAAAGCTGACCCTCTCTTCCTGGCAGTTGTCACTGGCCATAGCTCCTCAGCTAGGGGTAGAGCCCCCTGAACCTTCCCTTCATCTATGCTGGAGTGCTTGCCCCGGTATGTGCCCTGTGCTGGCAGCCGCAGCCACTGTGAGCACACGAATGCAACGGCTCTTCCGGGTCCAGAAGACACAGTTTCCCAGCATCCCCCCTCCCCGCCCCCCAGTCTCAGGCTCTTACAGTCTCCCCACCCCTTCTTCTGCCATGCTTACGCTATGTCGGGAGGGGGTTCGATATAGACGTCTCTTTTGGGGCTGAGAACTGCGTGGTTACTCGGCCTCCGCACTCTGACCAGCTGCGGACCTCTGTGTTAACAGCCGTCCGCCACAAAAGAGGCTCACCAGGTCAGGGCTGAGGCTGCGCTGACCTTGGAGCATAGACGCACTCAGAAGGCAGCTTGATACTATGTCCATTTAGCCAAACAGCAGAGGGGGGGGGAGACTCTGGCTGTATTCACGCATGTGTTTCATTTAGGTAGGGACAGATCAAGAAGAGAGAGCTATTTGCCCCCAAATCAGCTGTAGCTCCCCGGACTCTGGGGAAGGATGAGATGAGGTGGGGAGGTTCTCAGTCTCGGTTGTACATGAGACTCCCCTGGGGAGGGAGAGAGCATAAAATGCCCAGTGTCGAGGATCGACACCAGTCTCTAAGGATGGGCGCAGCACCCCTCCCCCCAGGAAATTCCAATACGTAGATGGCTGAGATCCGAACGCAAAAGCACCGGAGAACAATGAGCACCAGATCCCCACTCCACCCAGACCCCGGGGATAGCACAGGGGGCTCAGCGGATGCTCAGGCTTACTGTGCGGGTACACAGCCCAAAGAAATTGTGGGAAGGCTCTACAGGAACTTCCCACAAGGAAGAGCCGTGTTAGGATTCCCATCGGCCCTTGGAAGGAGAACGCTCACGATTAAGGACAAAAGAGCAATGTAATCCTGGCAGAGTCACCCGGGGGCATCTAGGGGGCTTCTGGAGGCTTCGGGTGGCAGTGCTCCAAATTCCCCTGCTTTTAGTCCAGCTTTGCTTGTCCTATGGGAGAAGATGAAGCCAGGCCCCAGTCAGGCTCACAATGCTAGAAGATAGTTAGCCTCACAGGGCTCCCTCATCTTAGGTGACTCGTTGCAGAGGTAGACAGAAAACCATATGCCCAGGGCAAGGGGCTGCTTGGGTTTTGTTTTCTTTTATTGTTTGTTTTTGTTTTGGAGGCTGTCCTGGAACTAGCTTTTGTAGGCCAGGCTGGTCTCAAACTCACAGAGATCTGCCTGCCTCTGCCTCCTGAGTGCTCAGACTAAAGGCATGTGCTACCAATGGCCTGTTGGGGTTGCTTGTTTTCTGTTTTTTCGAGACAGGGTTTCTCTGTATTGTTTTGGAGACTGTCCTGGAACTCTCTTGGTAGACCAGGCTGGTCTCAAACTCACAGAGATCCACCTGCCTCTGCCTCCCGAGAGCTGGGATTAAAGGCGTGCGCCACCAACGCCTGGCTGCTGCTTGTTTTAAAAGACCATGATTACTGAGTATAGTAGTGTTGTCTGTAATCTCATCAACTGGGGAAGTTGAGCCAGGAGGGTCAGGAGTTCAAGGTCATCCTTGGTTACATAGCAAGCATGAGGCCAGCCTGAGCTACATGAAACCATGTCTCTGAAGAATAAATACATTAAAAAAATAAAAAGATTACCCTCAGCCAAGTATGGTGGTTGACACTTGTAATCTCGGTATCTGGGAGGCTGAGGTGGGATTGTTGCACATTCTAGGCTAGCCTGGTCACAGAGTGAGACTAGTCTAAAAAAGGAGGTTGTGGGACAGTTAGTGGGGAAAGTTCTTTCTGGAAACCCAATGACCTGGGTTTGATACCTGGAAGCCATACTAAGTCAGAAGGAGGGAACCAAGTCCATAAAGCTGTCCTCTGACCTCCACACATGCACGAGGGCATGGGCCCTCCTCACATTACACACACACACACACACACACACACACACAAGACTAAAATGCAGGGCTTTAAAAAAATCACAGAGAGAAAAATCAAGACAATAAAATAAATAAAGTCATAAAAGAAAAAGTGAGACCAGCCTGGTCTACAAAGCAAGTTCAAGGACAGCCAGGGCTGTTAAGGCAGAGAAACCCTGTCTCAAGGAAATGACAGGGCTCCTCAGATCTAATTATTGTCCCAACCCTTGTCATTTATCATGTCTGATGGCCGCAGGTATATATATCTGTTTAGAGGCAAGAACCTACTATGCAGCCCAGGTTGGCACTAAACTCTTGACCTGATTGACTCAGCCTCCCATGTGCTAGGATTGCCGGTGGGGGGGGGGCGGTGCCACTATACCCAGCTGTGGTTGTATTTTTTTTTTAAGATTTATTTATTTTTAGCCGGGCGTTGGTGGCGCACGCCTTTAATCCCAGCACTCGGGAGGCAGAGGCAGGCAGACCTCTGTGAGTTCGAGGCCAGCCTGGTCTACAAAGTGAGTTCCAGGACAGCCTCCAAAGCCACAGAGAAACCCTGTCTCGAAAAAACAAAAAAAAAAAAAAGATTTATTTATTTTTATCTTGTATGTGTTTGCCTGCATGTATATATGTGCTCCACATGTACACCTAGTGCCCATGGAGACCAGGATAAGGTGTCAGGTCCTCTGAAAGTAGAGTTACAGAGAGTGTGAGCCACCACATGGACGCTGGGACTTGAACCCAGGTCCTGTGCAAGAGCAGCCAGTGCTCTTACCCACTTGGCTATCTATCCAGCCCTGTTACATTTCTAAATCCACATGGGATTATATTGTACATATGTACACGGGATTTATGTGTTTCGTGGTTTTTCCTTAACAACTCTCGGTGGAATTCTCTCTTCAGGAAACCACTTTGAAGAGCTCCACCATGTCTTCCGTGAGACATGGAATAATTGACTTAAGCCCCTCCCTGGGTCTAGACCTGCGGGAGTGTTCCAGTTCTCCTCTGTCACGAGCAATTGCCCCAGCTCCTGGGTCACAGCTTCTCCATTCTGCTGAACTAGAAAAATCAGTGGTGTTGGCTCTAGGACAGCGTCTTAATCTCAGCCTTCAGTGTGATGAATCTGATAGGGTTCCTGACAGGACATTCCCCGGCCAACAAGGCTGGCATTGTTCAGATCTGTCCCAGGCAGGGACTCCAAGTGAGATGAAAGTGCAGACAGAAACTGAAGCCAGGCACTGAAGAGGCCAGGGCCTCTGGAGGATCAGCCTGCTCTCTTCCCCTACACATACATACACATACAAACACACACACACATATACACACGCAACACACTCACACACACACAGGCAAACACACACACACACACACACACACTCACAGAGTGGGGGGGAGAATGGGAGGTATCTGCCTTCCCCCAAGTCCGTGTTCTTTGCAAAGGAAGCATGCATTCCCAGAGTGTCATGCCTCAGGATCGGTCTTAGGATGAGCTTGCTAAGACGGTAGAGGACCCGCTCTGTAACTCCAACTGGTATTGGGCTTATGACAGTGCCTGGACTCTCCAGCACCTGCTGGTGGGTGGACAGGACCCAAGTCCACTTCTAGCCCTGACCCACCTCTACTGATACATGTGGTGTCTGTGCATGTGTATATACAAGTATGTGTCCATGCTGAGCATGTGTGGAGGTCAGAGGCTGACATTGGGTGTCTTACTCTATTAATCTTCACATTATTATTATTATTATTATTATTATTATTACTTTGGTTTTTCGAGAGAGGGTTTCTCTGTGTAACAGCACTGGCTGTCCTGGAACTCGCTCTGGTAGACCAGGCTGGCATGGAACTTACAGAGATCCACCTGCCTCTACCTCCTAAGTACTGGGATTAAAGGTGTGTGCCACCATTTGCCTGGCACCTTTTTTTAAAAATATCTATTTATTTTTTATTTTATGTGTATGGGTATTTTGCCTGCATGTCTGTGTACTACATGCATGCCAGGTGCCCACAAGGAAGTCATCAGACGCCCTGAGACTTAAGTCACAGAGGGCTGTGAGCGCCTTGTGTGTGTTGGGAATTGAACCAAACCCCTTGGAAGCACAGCCAGCGCTCTTAACTGCTGAGCCCTCTCTCCCGCAGCTCTGCCTTGTGTTTTGGGATAAGGCTTCTCATTGAACCCGGCGCTCGCCCACTGCCAAGGCTTGCTGTGGACCTCCACCTGCCAGTGCTAGAACTGAGGTGCGTACCACTGCACCCCAGCTTCGCCCTTGGGCGGCAAGCACCTCACCCACCCAGCCGTCTCCCCAGAGGCCAGCATTTGCAAAGTGAGGAAAAGAAATCTTAACCCCTATTTACAGATTATTTGCTTGAATTGCTTAAATCACTGGACCCACTGTGGGTGGTAAGGGGATGGGAGGGAAGTGTTTTTCCCAACTCAACTAGGAGGTGATGGGCTATTTGTGGTCAGAGTGTGTCAAAGAAAGGAAGGGAGGGAGGGAGGGAGGAAGGAAGGAAGGAAGAGAGGAAGGAAGAAAGGGAGGAAGAGAGGAAGGAAGGAAGGGAGGGAGGGAGGAAGAGAGGAAGGAAGGAAGGGAGGGAAGAAGGAAGGAAGGAAAGAAGGAAGGAAGGGAGGGAGGGAGGGAGGGAGGAAGAAGGAAGGCTTGAATGCAGTTCTGGTGACACATCCAGTGTGTTCCTCAAGGCATGGCAGTAAATCTGGAGGCACAGGCAGGCTGATCAAGTGAGTTTGAGGGCAGCCTGGTCTACATAGTGAGTTCCAGCCATGACTACACAGATAAACCCTGTCTCAAAATAAAAAAAGGAACATTATTTTTTTTTCTACCTCCTCCCCTCCTCTTCTTCTTTTCAAGACAGTTTCTCTGTGTAGCCCTCTGGCCGTCCTGTAACTTATTCTGTAGACCAGGCTGGCCTCAGTCTCAGAGATCCGCCTGCTAAGTGCCAGGATTAAAGGCGTGTGCCACCACTGCCTGGCCGGAGCAGTCTTCCATGCTGAAGTCCAAGGGCCAACACTTGAATACTGTGAGATCTTCTGCCAAAAGCAAAGGCACAGGTAATGGGTCATGGGCCATAAGATCTGCTACCTTAGATTTGTTATTAGCACTCTCAGAGGAGGGGACGGTAACAGACTCCTGAGCAGTTGCACCCTAGTGTCTGCCTTTACCTGGTGCTTTAATGAGCCTTATTGCCTTCATAAGACGAGCACAACCATCATCCTATTTGATATGAGAACAGACCTGGCTGGGATTAAGCCACACTAACTCTCAGAGTCCCCAGGCTTTCATGAAGTTCCAGGAAATCAAGCTTGATGAGACGACTGTGAAATAGCAGGCCTGATGTGCTGGGATGGATACGCTGCCTTTGTTTGGATAGATGATCCTTCAGACTGCAGTCCAGGAGCAAAACTAGCTTGAGGCAAGGTAGACCAGCTTGGATAACGAATCCAGGACTTCGACAGTGGGAGGAGCCTCTTACCCACTTCTTGCTGCCTCAAAATTGGAATTGCATGGGCCACAAGATACCAGAAATCCGGGAGGCCTCACAAGGCTCCCTGAGGGCTAGCGGGGTGGGGGGGGGTGGGGGGGTGACTCATCCAGCCTGACTCAGTGAGGACTTCAGAGAGCACCAGCAGAGCTGGGCGTGGGAACTAAGATGCCTGTGATCTTCTACCCAGTGAGAGGAACTAAGGTTGCCAGAAGGAGCTCCTAGGGAGAGGCCATCCCGGCATCCTTAAGACTCTTCAGGACCCTCTTCAGTGGTGACAGCCAGCGGCTGAAGAGGGGGAATGGCACCGGGATGCTGGGAACAGACAGAGAAACCTTGAACACAGATGGCCATGTCGGGGAGGGCGGGAGGGCCCTCAAAGGGAAGATTTTGGAATCCGTAGCAATAAAGCAAGTGGGGCCTGAGTGGAAATAACCAAAGTGACGACATCACATTTACTCTTCAGACCTGTGGAGCAGGTCAGACCAGCGACGCAAGCAGCTAGGGACGCTTTCGACCCTCGACTGAGTCTTTCTCTAATGGTTCTGCTCTTAAAAACTTTCGTCAGTCAAGGTCAGGCAAGTCAAGGCTGGATTTAAGAGCAGGTGTCATACCCTTTCACGGGGGCGACAAACACCGCGGGGCGCAGGGGGAAGCTGGCGCCTCGCAGCCCGGAGCCAGCTGCACAGAAGCGAAACAGGACTCCGTGGCATGAACACACAAACACTGCCTCAGACAAAGGGCCCTCACGGTCACTCAGCTACGCTCAGCCCTGTCCTGGCATACCACGGAAAACCGAAAACACTGAGGTCTCTCAAACCTCAGCCAAGCTGCAGGTGGGGTTCCCTCTGCCAGCTGTCAGTCACCCACACAAGCTTCTACAGCCTAGAGCGCCTGTCTCTTCTCGCATTTCATCTGCCCACTCAAGAAAGCCCGACCATCCAAAGCAGACGACTTCCCGTGCCCTGCAGCTGTGGCCAGGGCCAGCCTCTCTCTGACTCTCTGACTCTCTGACTCTCTGTCTCTCTGTCTCTCTGTCTCTCTGTCTCTCTCTCTCTCTCTGACAGTATGTAGCCCGGGCTGGTTTCGGCTTGTGAGTGCTGGGATTATAGGTATATGCCATCTTGCCAATTGTTTAGTAAATAGTAATGACACACTCCATAATAATATGACTTGCAGTGTGACAATACACAAGCCAGTGACAGTCATCTGTTAATGCTAGCATGCGTCACGCTGCCTTTTTCCTCAGCTGGCAGCACGGTGGGTTTGCTGGCACCAGAAACCCCACAAACACATGTATAATGCATCCTATACCCTGACATCTGTCTTTGTTAGGGTTTCTATTGCTGCTGCGGAGAGACACCATGACCACGACAACACTTATGGAGGGAAAACATTTAACTGGGGTGGCTTACGTCTTCGGAGATTTAGTCCATTATCATCACGGTGCTGGAGGAGTAGCCGAGTATCCTACATTTTGGAATGTAGGCAACGGGAAGTGGGCTGTCTCACTGGGCGTGATTCGAGCATATGAGACCTCAGTGCCCACCTCCACAGTGACACACTTCTTCCAAAAGGACCACACCTGCTCCAACAAGGCCACATCTCCTAATAGCATCATTCTCTTTGGGAGTCATTTTCTTCCAAGCCACCACCATGTCACGGTGGTGCCCCGTCACTAGTTAACAGGAAGCTTTAGCTCCAACTCCTACAAGCAGCTACCCTGTGGCCACATCCCAGACAGGCAGTAAGATCCGCCCTCGGAGACCCTGACTTAAGGATGCAGGCACCATAGCATGTTCTAGAAGGGGGAGCACAGGCGGAGGGGTAGGCATGTCTTACGTAGAGAGACAGCAGTTGGAGCTGCTCCTTTAGCAATGTGGGGTCCAAGTGTTGCTGTAGCAACAGCATTCTAGGGTGGTCCTGGTTTTCCCGCCCATCCCCCAGCTCTACAAGGCTTCCTGCATGGGTCCTGCCCTGCCTTGCCACCCATGCTCCTGGGATGGCTGGATTCGCTGTTGTGGTCTTGTCAGCTTGACTCCAGCTGGGGTCATCTGAAAAGAGGGACGGAACTGCCTCCGTCAGACTAGTCTGTGGGCGCGTCTGTTGAGCAAGTCCTTCATTCTTGGTTGTTTCCTTGAATGTATAGAGTCCAGCTCACTGTGAGAAATGTTATTTTGTTGTTGTTGTTTTTGAGACAGTGTTTCTCTATGCAACAGCTCTGGCTAGCCTGGAACTTGCTTTGTAGACTCAACAAACGAGCCAACAGCAACAACAACAAAACACCCCAGTGCAACGAAAAGATCTTACTCCAACCCTTCCAAATGCCTGGCAAAGCCGCTCACAGGACCCCATTGTTTTCCGAGACCACCCACTCCAAATACAACCTTTGAGCAGTATTGGTGGCAGGCAGATGAGAGAGAAGACACGAGGTCAAGTGTAACAGCTAAGAGAGTCAAATAACACAGCGGAGTGACTGGGTCCCTAATGGAGCCTCCCCCAGCTAAGAAGGCTGACTCCATACATTTTTAATGAGCCCCAAACCTAACAACAGCACACTGCAGAGACTCTAAGTGGCCTTCAGAGCCTAAAATATTACTGTTTGGGGTATTACATAAAATGCTTGCTGACTGATTCCCAAAATGACTGAAGGGCTCCCTGAATCATCACTCTCCATTTCAAGGCCCACCCCCTACCCTGCCATCCATCTCCTGAGAGCGAAGGCCAGCAGACAAGCACAAGGCCATGTGGGGATGAACTTAGAGAGGTCACTGGACGTACACACAAAGTCCCGATGGGACTGGAAGACTTATACAGGTGTCTTAGACCTAAGAGAAGGGCGCAAAAGGGCTCAAAGAGATTTCTCAACACTCTCAACCCCAGGAGCCCATGCCTCCCGCTGTTCACTCATGGAACCCGTCGGCTGGCGAGAGCGGGCACTGCACGCCTACAATTCTTGGGTACACACTCTATCTTTGTACCCTGTAGTAGAAGTCAAAGCAAGGCCACCCAGTCCCTGGAAAAGGTCCACAACCTCTGCATTACCAAACATCAGGAGCCCAGCCGACCCCCCTCACCCCACCGACTGGCCTCCTCTGCGGGTCTCACGCTGCTTTCTGCAGCAGGAGGTGGGGAGAGTTTCCCTTACAGTTACAGTTTTAGGACGGCTGATGCTGTGGCCCATCTGGCTTACCTTCAGCCCCGGAGGGAGGACCTGAGGGTGGCGGATCTGGATGAGCGTGAGTGTCACGAGCACCACGATGCTCACAAGCAGGGCCACCAAGGTGACGATGGCCGGAGTCCGGGAGAGGGCCCTGAAGCCTGCAGGGGGAAGCAAAGCAGAGTGACTTGAGTTCCAACACCCAGTAGCTGTTCTCTGACCCCCACACACAGGACTCACTCACACACACACACACACACACACACACACACACACACACACACACACACACACGGAAATAAACACGTAAATGCAAAATGAAAATTTAAGTGTAAATATGTAAATGAAAAATGAAAAATTTAAATTTAAATGCAGATTAAAAATCTGGGTTTTGAGTTGGACAATGGTGGCGCACGCCTTTAATCCCAGCACTTGGGAGGCAGAGGCAGACGGATCTCTGTGAGAGCAAGTTCCAGGACAGCCAGGACTATTACACAGAGAAACTCTGTCTCAAAAGACAAACAAAAAGAAGAAGAAGAAGAAGAGGAAGAAGAAGGAGGAGGAGGAAGAGGAGGAGGAGAAGGAGACAATCTGAGTTTTCTACTAAAACATAGGCGATCTTTTCCTTAACCTCAGTGAAAGAAATTAGAACTGTGGATCTTAGCAAATAGAAATAATTTCATTTCGTGGCGCACGCCTTTAATCCCAGCACTCGGGAGGCAGAGGCAGGTGGATCTCTGTGAGTTTGAGGCCAGCCTGGTCTACAGAGCGAGTTCCAGGACAGCCTCCAAAGCCATAGAGAAACCCTGTCTCGAAAAACCAAAAAAAAAAAAGGAAAAAAAAAAAGAAATAATTTCATTTCATTTCATTTCTTTCTTTTTTTTTTTTTTTTTTTTTGGTTTTTCGAGTCAGGGTTTCTCTGTATTGTTTTGGAGGCTGTCCTGGAACTTGCTCTGTAGATCAGGCTGGTCTCGACCTCACAGAGATCCGCCTGCCTCTGCCTCCCGAGTGCTGGGATTAAAAGCGTGCGTCACCACCACCCGGCTGGAAATAATTTCATTTTTAGGAAGCTGTAAAGCAAGCAGGGAACACACTTGGGAAGACTGACCACCTGAAGGTTGGGGCAGGGGGTTCATGGGGAGGGAAATGTGGCTATTTTCTGCACTGGTGGACTTGTTCTCCAAGGTAATAGGATTATGGGGTGTGAGGGTATGTACCTGTATTTGTCAAAACTCACTAAGCCCCTCAAAATCATTTGGGGGCAAAGTTGAAAATCAACCAGACTAGGTTCTTCTGCACAACTCGCCTTTTGAATTTTGTAATTCTTAGTAATTGCATACATGCAAGGCTCGTGGCACCCCAGCACTCAGCAAGGGGAGGCAAAAGGATCTCTGTAAGTTCGAGGCCAGTCTGGTCTACATAGAGAGTTTCAGGACAGCCAGGGCTACACAGCGAGACACTGGCTCCAACAAACATGAAAGAATTGCATGCACAATTCTAAAACATACACGTTCAGAAGGTAAGATTACCCAGCTAGGGAGTGTAACATAAGATCTAACCATTTCTCTCTATATCAATTATATGTGGTTTAAAAAAAATCTAAAAGCTAGTTAATTAAAACATTGAAGTCGACTGGGCTTGATACTACACACCTGTAATCACAGTACTCCAAAAGCAGAAGGATCAGTAGTTCAAGGCCAGCTTTAGCTATGTAGAAAGTTCAAAGTCAGCCTGGGCATTTTAAGAAAACAAACAAACAAAATTGTGCCTAAATAACAGTCTTGGTTGCCAGGCAGCAGTGGCATACACCTTTGATCCCAGCACTCAGGAGGCAAGTGAATCTCTGAGCTCCAGGTCAGCCTGGTCTACAAAGCAAGCTCCAATCCCCCCCCAAAAAAAAGGTCTTGGTAGAATACTAAGACATAAATACAAATAGTTTTGGCTGAAATATGATGTAGTTATAGAAGACGAGAAAACGTCAACATTTCTCTCGAAACTGACTGTTCAAGTGCCAATCAATTAAAACAAATAAATAATTCCTCAGTCACATTTCGAACGTTTGGTCCCCCAGGTGGCCTTGTGGTTGCTGTGTAGGGTGAGGACGATGCCACCCCATGCCTCAACAGCCATGGGTGTGTTCTGCTCTATCCCACGGAGTTCCCTCTGAGGTCACTGCAGACCGTGGCTCACTTCCTCTTTCTTTCTAGATCCCTTTTTTCCTGGAAGTAAACAAAGGCTGCATGCACCACCTTAATCAAATTAGTCGCTGCCCCGTATCCAATTGCATTGCCTTGTTTGCTGCCTGGAGGGTGGGGGTGGACATGTGTGGCTCCTGCCTGTCAATAGAGACAATAGAGACAAAGGGGCCACCTAACGCCTTCCTTCTCCCTTTTAGGGAGTATAACTGGTATGGCATCCGTGGAGGACAATTTGTCAGTATTTACCAAAGCTCAGAGATGCTCACCCCCTGACCACACTGCACTTCTGGAAACCCACCTCACCCCACTTAACCCACGAATGTGAGGGGACTTATGGGCAAGTTACTCATTGTGGGGGCACGCATCACAGATCTGGAGGAGAACCAGCCCTGAGCCTCAGAGCATCAGAACCAGGTCCTGAACCACTCCTCTGTGCTCCAGATAAAACCTCCCCAGCCAGCTGGGAACCAGCGAATCCACAGAGATGAACTCACTCCTACTTTCAAACCCCATCAGTGTTACTAACAGAGGTTTCAGGGATTTTTTCCCCCACAAGACCCAGTAGAGTTAATCTGCCAAGTTTAATCTTCCTTAGGAAAGAATGTAGCCAATCAGCTTGTTTGTGGAATGTTATAGTACGTGTGTTAAAATTCCAATGTATTTGGGGGGAAATGTTCAACGCAATGTAAACCATCTCCTTTAGTGTAACTGCTCTTTCCAAAATATTTAATATAAATTGGTCTTTATGTCCTCAAGTCATACCCTTTTGGAAGTCAAGAATCAGCAGTTCAGGACACAGCTAAGGAAACTCTTCAAGGGGATGGGTGTGTGAAATGTAAGCAGTCTCCTGACCACAGCAACCATGGACTGACTGGCTGGCCTCCTGAATCGTTTGGGCTTCAGCACTTTCCAAGTGAAAAGCTATGATTACCTCCAGCAAACACTTATCCAGCAAAAAAGCTTATTACAAAGCAAACAGACTGGGCTAGGTCTCATTCGTGAAGAAATACAGCCTAGAGCTGTGCAGTAGTTAGGGCTGGGTAAACATTGGTAATTGCAGGTGCCTACCTGAACCTGGAGAGGAGGTGAGAGCTGGCTGAATGCACACTTCCAACTCCACAAGAATAGCTGGGGGGGGAGTGTTGGGGAGACAGGGTGCCAGGCCAGGCAGGCTTGGGAAGTGTGTGGGAGGGGGAAGGAGGGAGGGAAAGAGGAAGGAGAGGGAGGGGGAGGGGGACAGGGAGGGCGGGAGGGGAGAGAGAGAGGTTCCTATCATAACACTCATCCCCCGAAGATAGGAGTGCATAGCATGCACGATCCAACTCTATCAGGATTCATCCCCAAGTCAACAACAACACATAGCCAAAACCTTACGCATAGCTAGGTAAGGAAACCACAAGAGCCAAAATAATGGATTACAGAAACAGGAAAAACCATTTAAGCCAAGCCTGTGTTAGCCCTTGTTTCGTGTGGCTTTCTGCACAACATTACTTTTATCTGAAGAAAGCCAAGGGGGAAACCTAGGTGAGCCACAGTGGCTGGAGGCTAGGAGCTACGACTTTATGGATGGAGAGGTGCGAACCAAAGCTGGGGTACTCTGGGATCTGGCAAAACCACGCTCGCTCGCCATCCGGTGAGCGACACGTACCTGCTGGTTCACAAGGCTGGCGGGCCATCACGGTAAACATCTTCTCTGCCGGCTGAGGGGGCAAAAATACAGAATGAGAGTGTGGCCAGCCCCTGACTTCGGAAGTTCAAAAACAAACTTGGACGGGTTAATATCGAACGCACGTCATCGCCTCTCGGTCGAAGCCTCTTTGGGAACAGTGCGCTCAAACCCAGAGCTTCAGACACCGGTGGAAGCTGGATGGTTAACCCCCAGCGTCCTCTCCCCGGATGCAAAGCTGGAAGAATGGATATGCTAAAAGTTTAACTAGAGAGAATTTTGAAAATAAAACCACGGAGTGTGTGTGCTCTTTTTTCTTTTCTCCTGTAGGTCGCTCCACCTGTGAACAGCACAGAAACACAGTAAACCCTGCTCTTAGGGACAGTCACAGGCTCGGGCTGGGCTATCGTTCACCAGCAAAGCCGGTTCGCATTGGTGTGTGCTGGTGACGGCCAGCATGCAGTCACCCCTTAAAGACCTGCGGGGTATCCCCAGCTCCCGGAAAGGAACACAGGCAGACAGCTGTCAGGCCCTGCGGATCAGACTGGGGACCCGGGAGTTGCCCGGTCCCCTGCATCTGCAAGTCTTGGGGTGCGTCGTGACGCGGTGTCCCCTCCCTGCCAGATGACAGTGCCCAGCTCCCCGGGTTTCGGCTCCTGCCTGTGGCCCTCAGCGGGAAGCGATGCCCAGTCCTTCCCTCCCCGCTCCCGGCTGCCCGCAGCCCGCTCCATCCATCCCATCCCTATGCGCGGGTCCAGATCTTACCTGCGCGCTGCGCTCGCCCCGGGTAGCTGAAAGGCGGCGGCCCTCCGGGGCGCGGGAGGCGCGGGAGTCAAGGAGGCGGGGCGAGGCGGCGTGGGTGGCGCAGTCTGCGGGGACCGCCTCTGCGCTTAGGCCAGGACCTCTTCACCCTCCCCGGCTCCTCCCTCTCACTTCACCCCAGCTTGTCCTGGAAGAGGACCGCAAGGGGTCAGCGCCACGTGGGAGACAACCAATCCCTGCCGGCCTCTGTATTAGTTACTTCCCTCGTTGCTATGACAAAACACCTGACAAACGCAACTTAATTAAAGAAGAAAAGGTGACTCGCTGCTGTAGGGCTGTAGGGTACCATCGGCTGCGGTGGGGCAGGCACGTTGGCAAGAACTTGAGCAGCTGGTCACATTGCATCTGCAGTCAGACACCCGAGAGAGACGAATGCCCAGCTCCCTTCCCCCTTTTTATTTAGGTCAGGACCCGGGTCTAAGGCATCGATGCTGCCCTCATTCAGGTAGGTCTCACATCAGTTAGCCCAGTCTAGATAACCAGTCCCAGACATCCTCAACTTGTCTCCTAGGTGATGGTAGATGCTGTCAAGCCGCCAGTATGAATAATCAGTGTCCCACCAGGACCCAGGCAGACAGCTCTCCATATCTTTATCTCCTAACTCCCTGGGCCCTCCCCTGAGCCCAAGGCAGAGGAGGAGGTGATGTGACCTTTCCCCCAGTCCCAAGGGACCCTGAGTGGGAGTGAAGTACCCTTTGCCTGCCAGTCCTCCAACTGTCAAGACAAATAGCCTTTTTTTAAGAAGAGACGTGTTTATTATGCTTGTCTGTGTGTGTGTGTGCCTGCGTGAGTTTATGTGCACCATGTGTGTGCGGGTACCCATGGGGTTCAGCACCTCTGGAACTGGAGTCACACAGTTGTGAGCTACCCTGTGGTTGCTGGGAATTGAACTCAGGTCTTCGGGAAGAGTGACCAGTGCTCTTTTTTTTTTTTTTTTTTTTTTTTTTTTGGTTTTTCGAGACAGGGTTTCTCTGTATTGTTTTGGAGGCTGTCCTGGAACTCACTCTGTAGACCAGGCTGGCCTCGAACTCACAGAGGTCCGCCTGCCTCTGCCTCCCGAGTGCTGGGATTAAAGGCATGCGCCACCAACGCCCGGCTGTGACCAGTGCTCTTAACTGGTGAGTCATCTCTCCAGCCCCCTGTTTCGCATGTTGTTTTGAGACAAGGTTTCCCTATGCAGCCAAGGCCAGCCTCTACTGGTTTCCTATTCAACCTCCTGGTGCTGGGTCACTCTTGAGATGCTATACTCGCTACAAGGCAACTCTGTTTTCCTACTTTTCCCGTTGGATCAAGGGTGGAGTGGGACAGGACGAGCCATTCTGAGGGCGCACGTGATTTCTCTCAGCCCCCTCCAATCTCTCTGCATATGCGGGGGCGGGGTGGGGTAGAGCAGAGAACCTAGAGTGGTGAGCAGACAGGTGGATCCTTGGGTCACTTGGGAGCACGTTGGGGAGCACAATGCAGGCACCCCCTCACATGGTAGCTAGTATGTGGTGTTGATGCCAAGGGCTTCCTTAGTGGTCACGGAGAGACGTTCTTCTCCATCCTCAGTGGCACTGAGCCAACAGCCGGGACAAGAACAGCTTGGAAGAAGCCAAACAGGACAGGTGGCAAAGCAGAGATCCGAGGACCTAGGAGTCCATTTCTGGCACAGCCTCTTGAAAGCCCCAAGCAAGAGATCTGAGTGGGAGGTTGTTCTTTTGTCCTTTCTGTCACTGTGATAAAACACAAAATCAACTTAAGGGAGGAACAGATTTATGTGGCTTGTACTTCCAGGTCACAGGCCATCAGTAAGGGAAGCCAGGGCAGGAACTCAAGCAGAGTCTTGAAGCAGAAGTCATGAAGGAATGATGCTGGCTGCCTCACGGGCTCATGCTTAGCTAGCTTGCTTTATAATCCAGGACCACCTGCCCAGGGAATGGCGCTGCCCACAGTGGGCCCTCCTACATCAAGACCATCCCCAGTAAACATGTCTCCACCTCAATCCAACCTAGGCAGTTCCTCAATTGAGGCTTTCTTCTCAAATGACTCTAGGCTGTGTCAAAGTGACAATCAAAGCTAACTGGGACAGAGGTCTTGGACCATCTCTCCTATGGCTCAGTATGTCTGGAAGGAGGAGCTAAGGGCAAGGTCCTTGGCCTCCCTGCCTTCTCCTAAAGATGTATCAGTCTGCTCCTGTGCAAGTGGCGCAGAAGTCCCTGTAAGACAAGAGGGCAGGAATGAGCCTAGGGGCTGCAGAGATGGCTCAGTGGTTAAGAGCACTGTATTGCAATTCCAGAAGGCCCAGAGTTCAATTCCCAGCACCCATATGGCAGCACACAACTGTCTGTAACTCCAGTTCCAGGGGACCCATTACCCATGGCAAAGCGACAATGCACATAAAATAAAGATTAAAGAAAAAAAAAAAAGACCTCTGAGCCTAGAGAGCCCAGGCCACAGTCCTGGTGTGTGTGTGTGTGTGTTCACAAGAGCCGCATTGGGTGGAGATGGGTCCCTCCTGTGGGACTGGTGCCTGATCCGCACTGGAGCAGGAGCGCTGGCTACTTTGAGACTTATTTTCTTTGAACACTATGGGGCACTGGAACATAACGTTCAGTAGAACCCCAAGTGCCCATGCATCCAGAGGGACAGGAGTCCACTGATCCCAGCTGGCACTGCACCCAGGCCTGAGCTCAGAGAGATCTTCTCTGTATCTCACCAGAGTTGCTGGGAGCTGTGAAAGGTTCTTGGACCAGGGACCTCGCAATGCCTCTAAAAATAATGGGGCCAACTTTGCTTTTTGCTTGCCCCAATCTGTGAGCCATGAAAGTGTCAATCACTTCTGTGAGTCCCAATCTCTTCTGTGAGCCCCGTCTTCAGCTCTTTTATTTTCCCAGATTTCCCTGAAAGCTCTGCTCCAGGTTCAGACTGAACAAACATCTCTGTAGCTCGCAGACTAGCCCAGTCATTCAAAGGTGTTTCACCATCCTCCGGAAAGCACTTGTAGTGGAACGCACAAGCGCACACTGCCTTCACTCACCCTCCACTCGTGAATACAAGCACACGTGTGCATGTGCGTGCGCACACACGCGCACACACACACACAGGACAACACAGGTGCTTTACTTGCTCTCCAGTAAATTAGAAAGCTGCAATGATTAGACAGGATTGGCTACAGGGATTTATTTAACTGTCTGAATAGCAAGATTAACTGAGTCGTAGCAGACAATGGGTGTGGAATTTAGACTACGCTAAAGGAGAGGCGGAGTGATGTGTTATCCGAGGACCAATACTGAGATGACGTGTTATCTAAGGACCAGTACTGAGATGACGTGTTATCCAAGGACCAGTACTGAGATGATGGGTTATCTGATGACCAGTACTGAGATGATGGGTTATCCAAGGACCATTGGGACAGGATCCTAAAAGTTGAAAAAAGAAAGAATGCAATTTACTAAGAAAATAAAGAACATTTTTATCATTGGAAGGAGCTACAGGTTCCAGCAAGGAGATAAGCAGCAAAACGAATACACTGAGAGGCAGCTGGAGAAAGACCATGTGGGGAGAGAACAAATCTTGCAAGTTGTCCTCTGTCCTCCACAATATGTCATGTCATGAGCATCACCAACCCCCAGACAAACAAACAAATAAATGAATAAATCTAAAAAAACAATGTCCTAGCAAAGAGCTCCCACTGCAATATAGAGTGAATATATTTAAAATAGAAAAATAAATGACATGCAGTAACCGATTTTCAACAAAAAGGCCAGTAAGTTTGGAAAGAGGCTCATTTTCATTGGTTTCCAATGAAAACGTGATCACATATGAGTACGCCAAGTGTCTTAGGGTTTCTATTGCTGTGAAGAGATGCCGTGACCTCGGCAACTCTTATAAAGGAAAACATTTAATCGGTGGACTTACAGCTCAGAGGGTCAGTCCATTATCTTCATGGTGGAACGCAGGCAGACCCGGTGCTGGAGAAGGAGCTGACGGTTCTACGTCTGGGTCCACAGGAAGCAGCAGAAGAGCTGAGTACCATATGAGACACCAAAGCCCGCCCCCACAGTGACGCACTTCCTCCAACAAGGCCACACCCACCACCCCAACAAGGCCACACCTCCTAATAGTGCCATTCCCTGTGGGCCAAGCATTTAAACACAGGAGTCTATGGGAGCCATACCTATTCAAACCACCACACTAAGTGTGTGTGGGTAGGGGAGCCATATTTGTATATGAGCCACCAAACACAGTTTAAAACCTTACCATCTTTAGACAAGATTTCTTTATTTTGTTGTGATTTTTGTTTTGTTGGTTTGTTTTTTGTTTTACGAGACAGGGTCTCTATGTGTAGCTCTGACTGTCCCGGAACTCTATTTGTAGACCACGCTGGCTTCAAACTCTAGTGCCCTCTTTTGGCCTGCAGGTATACATGCAGAGCACTCATACATAAAATAAAAATAAATAGAAAATAAAAATAAACAGGTGATTCCCATGGCTTCTGAACACCTGTGTTAATTGTCCTCTCTCTTATTTTAATCACATGATTTGGGCCCTGAAGCCCTGAACACTTGGTTGGATTATGCTAGTGTACTTTTCAACATGGCTGGCCTAGACTTAACTCTCCAGGCTGGTTGAGTTCTGCATTCTTTTCACAGTTTCCTTGTCTGGGTTCCAACTACTACCCTGACGTCACCTTGATAGTGGTCCTCTCTTTATGGGCCCTTTATGATCATGGTCAATTTTATTCTTTTTTTCTTTTTAGTTTTACGAGACAGGGTTTCTCTGTATTGTTTTGGAGGCTGTCGGTCCAGCCTGGCCTCGAACTCACAGAGATCCGCCTGCCTCTGCCTCCTGAGTGCTGGAATTAAAGGCGTGCACCACCACCACCCGGCTAATTTTATTCTTATTCATATTGGTTCTTTCTTTCCACTTTGAAAATTTTGTTGTCTAACTTGACCCCTTTTTTAAAAGGTAAAGAAACATTTGGTTTCTAAAATGACTGCAGTAGTTAGTGTCTTGGTTTTTCAGAGAAATTTCCATCTTCTAGATGTACATCTAAGACAGCAATTTTTTCTAGAAGCCCCCTTGTACACACATATTTTCATATTTAATGAGCATCCAACATGTTGTAGGCAGCCATTATGACTGTGCTTATTACCTTCTCCATGTAATGTTAGTGTCGATTTCTTTATAGGCTAAAGCTCACGGGAACACACACACACACACACACACACACACACACACACACACACACACGTTTCTAGCTAATGATTTAGTATCACTAAGCAATGCTCCTGCTTATTGTAAAGAATGTTTTTCATTTTGTTTTTTTGTGGGATTTTTGTTTTTGGTTTGGTTTTTTGTTGTTTGGTTTGGTTTATGCTTTCCATCTGAACTGTATGGTATATTCAGCGATAGACTGTTATCTTTATTTTATGAGGGCATCACGGGCCAAGGCAGTAGTTTGTTTTGTTTGGGGTCTCTTGGACTCCCCTGACCAACAACTCAAAAGGAGGACTTCATTCCTGGCACCGGGAGGGGTTCTTGTTAGAGGGGTTTGGTGGGGGAACCATTATCATCCTGAGTGGCATAGCTTCAAATATATGTGTGTGCATAACACATATTATGTGTTAATTTTAAGTTAACTGTTACTGATGGTTCTTCCTGCCAGCTTGGTCCCACAGATGCATCAGCCCCAAATGAACACACAGACGCTTTATTAGGCATAAAATCGTTGACCGATGACTAGGGCTTCTTATTGGCTAGCTCTGTCTTAATTGTTAACCCACAACTACTAATCTATATATTTCTACATGGTCTTATCTTACCAGAGAATGCCTGATTCATGTCCGCTTTTCCCAGGATCACATTGGAGACTCTGCCTCTGTCTACACTTCCCAGAATTCTCCTCGTCTCCTAGCACTGCCTGGCCAATCAATGTTTTATTCATTAACCAATAGGAGAAGCATATATACAGAAGGAACATCCCCATCATCTCCTCTTTTCTGTCTAAATAAAAAGAAGGGTTTTGCCTCCAAAGCCATAAAGGAACCCTGTCTTGAAAAACAAAAACAAAACAAGAGGGTTTTAACTTTAAAGTAGTCAAATTATATGTAACAAAAGTTACCAAGTAAGAACTATAGTTACAATATTTAGTCCATTAATATTTAGCAAGATTTAAAGAAAATATTCTATCATCTATCCCATCTTTGTGAGTCTAAAGTTTTACACGTAACTTGTCTTTTATCATAACTAAGGAAAACCATAGCCATGACTATCTGTTTTCAACTCCATCAAAGACCACAGAAGGATAGCATATAAAGTCTAGAACTGACAGAGACAGTAAACAGAAAATGACTCCCTGTGGCTTTTTTCAAACATCCTCGGTGTAATTTATCCTTCCCTCCCTCTGTGCTGGCCTCCCTCGCCATCTTTCCCATTTCCCCCTTCACAGCACCCGTGTCCCCTGACATTTTTAAAATCCTGCCCTAGTCTGGTGTCTGTGATAAAACCCATGATGAAAACAACTTGAGGGAGGAAGGGATTCATTCCAGTTTACAGATCACGGTCCCTCACAGAGGGACGCCAGGGCAGGAGCTGAGGCAGACGCCAGGGAGGATGCTGCTGGCTGGCTCACTCCCTTTGGCTAGCCTTCAGTCAGCTCTCCTGGACAACCAGAGGCTACCTGTCCAGTGGGCAGGCCCTTCTACACCAGTTAGCATCTAGAAAATTCCCCACAGACAGAAGTGCCCACAGGCCAGTCTGGTCTTGCTAATCCCCCAAGAGTCAAGTTGGCACCGAAAGCAAACTAGAGGTTCTCTCGATTGTACTCACCCTGCTCCCGTATTCTCCTCCCTTCCCTTCCCTGCTCCGACCACAGAAGTGTCACCTAAGCTCCTTTGCTAGGCACTCTGTGGTTAGATTGCTAATGGGTGTCTGGAAGAAGAAGGTGGAGAAGAGAGAGAGCTTAAATACTTCTTGTCACCTCTTGCTCACATGGAGTTGCATGATCTAACACAGAGCTTCTCAAACTGTGGGTCATGGCCCTCGGCGGGGTCATATTACTCAATGTAGAGGTCATGAAAAATTCAGCCACAGTAAAAGCTTTCTGAAGGAACAATCAAATGCGAATTCAATATCAAGTAAATAAGGGATCTGAAGTGCTACGGACAACACCTACCTATGTGGAACCACACAGTGTCACCGCACACATGGCACGCACATTCCACGTGCATCCTGTCTGCCACACCCACATTCCAAGTGCATCCTGCCACACCAGGCGAGGCTAGGGGAAACACCTCAATTCACCTTACATGTGCATGCCGTCATGTATAGCTCTACTTCGCCTTGGCCTGCTCAGCCAAATCCTAGGGAGCGCTGTGCTAAATCATCACCAACTGTTCTTAAATTAACTAATTGTTTTATTGTGTATGAGTCTTCTGTTTGTGTCTTGGTGCCCACAGAGACCAGAAGAGGGCAGCAGATTTCCTAGGACTAGAGTTAACAGACAATTGTGAGCTGAAAACTGAATCCGGGTCATCTGGGTCGTATGTGTGATTATCATGTGTTATGAGTCATGGTGTTTTTACTGCACACACAAAGCTTTCTGCTCTCAGAGAGCTGTGATGGTTTCATTACGGAAAGCAACCACTTTTTAACATTTTTCTACCAGCATTCCTTAGTTTATCTTCGTTAGTTATTATCACATTAGTTTATCTTCAGACTGTTTTGTCTTCCACAAGCAAGTAGGTCCAGCTTGCCACTATGCAAATTTTCTTCTTTAACTAATAAATGGCAAAATTCATCCATCTTTTACTGGAAACTTGCTGTACTAAAGGGAGGCAAGGATTCACCCGTCAAAGTGAGAGATGATGAACTGGATCAGATATCAAGAGTTGGAGCTGGCCGGGCGTTGGTGGCACATGCCTTTAATCCCAGTACTCCAGAGGCAGAGGCAGGTGGATCTCGTGAGTTCGAGGCCTGCCTGGTCTACAGAGCGAGTTCCAGGACAGCCTCCAAAACAATACAGAGAAACTCTGTCTCGAAAAACAAAAACAAAAAAATTGGAGCTGGAGGCTTGAAGAGATGGCCCAGTGGTTAAGGACCACTGACTGCTCTTTCAGAGGACCCGGGTTCAGTTCCCGGCACTCACATGGCGGCTCACAACGCTGTATCTCTAGTCCCAGGGGATCTGATGCCTTCTGCTGGCCTCCTTGGGCACCAGGCACGAACATATCCGTGTACATAAATAAATAGTTAAAGGGACTCTGGCTGACCTGGCCATGGTGAGCATGGCTCTGGCAGGCCTTGCCCTTCTCCCCATTCCCTCTGCTGTGCTCAAATCTATTAGATTACACTCCTAAGGCCAGCCCCCACTTCCTTCCGAGGCTGACTACAAAGGTCCAGCAATCAAAAGCCCCCTTGGCTCACCTAATTAACACGCCCGATTAAAGTTAAACACCTCATCCTAGCACGGGGTTTCCCCTTGTACCTTTATAAACCCCCATGTTCCTATGGGCCACGCCTCTCTCTTCTCTATCCAGAGGCAGTCCTATGTTCCCCTCTGGGGCAAATACCCCTTCTCCCTCCCCTTTCTCCCTATGCCTGTTTCTCCTGTCTTTGTCTCTTATTTCCTGCCCTCTGTCCCTCTGGGGCAAATAAATCTCCTTTGTACTGAGAACTTGGTCTTAAGGGTCCTGAACCAATAACGATCTGATCAATAATATTAATAAAGCTGGTGATGATCTAGCAGAATATTTTCTAGGATTTAGCTGGGCAGGCCAAGACAGAGTAGGCTGCACTGGGACTCCAGTTTTATAGAAGTGGCACCCTGGCAGCCTTGGTGGAGGCTGACTTTGGCCAAGGATAGTCTTTACCAAGAACTTTCTCTTCTCCATCTCCCAGTTCAATGATTCTTTTTATTTATTTATTTTGCTTCAGCTGGGTCTATCCAGCTAAACCTTGGCAGTCTAATCACATTATCTGCTTAGTGACTTCTAGACAGGAAAGGAGAGGGTAGAGTAAGTTTGTTGAGCTGTATTTTATATACAGAAAAAAGAGCATCGTTTGTAAGGGCTC